CCCGCACTTGATGGTGACTTGTGCTATGGGCTTGGAGTTGGCCTCTAGTGTTGTACGCCACATCCCCATTGAGTTCCTGATGAAGGCTCTTAGGGTCCCATTGATCTTGTACAATTCTAGGCATTCCAGTATCCAGCTGTGGGGCATTGAGTCATAGGCCTTCTTGTAATCAATCCAGGCAGTGCACAGGTTGGTCAGTCTGGTCTTGCAGTCTCGGCTGATTGTTCTGTCTACCAGTAGCTGGTGTTTTGCGCCTCTGGTATTCTTGCCAATTCCTTTCTGTGTCCCGCTCATGTATTGACCCATGTGCCTGTTCATCTTAGCCGATATGATGCCTGACAGGAGCTTCCATGTAGTACTGAGGCAGGTAATTGGTCGGTAGTTGGAGGGGACCGGTCCCTTCTTGGGGTCCTTGGGGATCAGGACCGTCCGGCCTTCAGTTAGCCATTCCGGGTGTCTCTCGTTAACTAGCAGCTGGTTCATTTGTGCTGTGATATATATATATATATATATATATATATATATATATCATTGACTTTAATTATTAAACATTCGCACATAAATAAGTGACGTCATATTCAGTACTTTTGACAGTTCACTCTTCGGCTGCTCCATCTTACTAGGGAAATTCCATATACATAATTGTAATTTCAAAACTCAACCCCATCATTTAATTTGTTTTTGATTGAAATTGAATATTACTTAAACTCTCTTAAATTAACTTCCAAAAAAAAAAGGTTTATCACTGATTGAAATTCATTCAGAAATGTTTAACGAATGAGCTGTCACAACTTTCAAGTACAAAGTTGTTATGAAGTCTGTCACATTCCCCCCTTTTTCTTTCTTTTTTCTTTTTTATCCTTTATTTATTTATCCTTCTTATTTCACTGCACTGTATATTGTTACTCTTATTTGCCTTATATGTCTACTGTACAAACTGAACTGGAATGACTGACTGTTCGCTTTATAATTTCAATAAAGTTTGGAAGAAAAAACAAACCTCTTCGGCCGCTCCCTTCTCATCATGTTTCTAGGATGGAGCCGTTTGGAATAATGCCGCCCTCTGCTGGACAGATATCGTATTGTCCCTGAGTCCTTCTGATCCTCAGCACTTTCTATCAGGAGACAACGCACCCAGGTCCCATTTGACGTTGTTCACTTGATGTTCTGAAGCCCAGTACGGACCTTAACACGGGCTCCATGTGGACATATTAGATTAACTGTTTTTAAGACCAGTTTCTTAAATTACATGTGTGATTTTTATTTTGTGCTTTCAGTGCAGAGAGAGTCTCTGTGGAGGTTGGATGTTCTCCCCGTGTTTGTGTGGGTCCTCTCAGGGGACTCTGGCTTCCTCCCACAGTTCACAGACATTCAGGTAGTGGGGTTAGGTTAACTGGTGAATAAGTGTGAGCGTGAACGGTCGTCTGTCTCCTCACCCTGTGTTAGCTAGGATCCACTCCAGCTCGTACATGCCCGTCAGGCACCATCCTCATACCTGTTCTGGTAAATCCAGTCCTGGAAGACACAGCTCACCTGGAATCTGTGTTCATGTTATAAAATGTTACATTTCATTAGAAGTTGGTTGTATTCCAGTTTTATGTTGCAGTTTTCACTTTTGAAAGGGAAGGTTAGTCCAGCTCAGTCAGATGCTGAATGCTCTCTTTCAGTACGTTGTTGTATTAAACGATGACTCAGCAGACGACACATTGTAGCCATTTTAAAAATCATGCAACAGACCCTTGGTCACGATGTCATTGTGGGGATATCTAAAGGCTGGGTTCCTTCTAATAACCGTAACAAGTGTTTATGGCGCTCCTTGTGATGCTGGGTCAAAGTTCAGCCTCTGAAGACCTCGACGTGTTTGAAGTTATCCACAGGCTGCGAGGTCCACTTCAAAGGTGTTCTATGTTAGATGTTGGTCAGGTTAATCAAAATGGAAACTGTTGAACGTTTCAGAAGTTTACACATTAACCAACATGGTCCAGCACTAAACATCGTAACGCTTTTAGTTTTTGGAGAGAGGATGCTGCCATCAAATTCAAAATGGGCTAATATTTTTCTTTAAATGTTTCATTTTCTCACTTTGTTTAAAATACTGGTTTATAGGATTTGCAAATGATTGCATTCTGTTCTTAATCATATTTAACACAGCAGATCAAATGTAGGGAAGTGGGTGTTATATTCAGATTGTGGGATACATTTAGGAAAATGTAAAACTTTTGATGTCAATGTTGTTTATTTGCAGGGTTTAAAAATAAATGTGTTTACTGTTTGAAACTCATACTTGGCCTTCTACTCGTCATGGCTACTTAACCAAGCTAACAGGGTGGACAGTCTGAGGAGCTGGGAAAGAAAAGCGTCTGAACTGCTTTAAGTGTCTTGAAGATGTTTTATTCAAGAAGTTTCTTCAGTTTTTGTTTTTTAATAAACACCATATACACATTTAAGTTCAGGTTTTAGCAGATATAACATGTTACAGTTAGCACGTAAGAGATTTGGGAGAAAATTCTTTACAAAAACATAATTCACAAGACACTTATTTGTGACATACGTATCCATTGGCATATAAAAGAGAATTGAACAAAGGCCAACTAACATCTGGGCAATAAAACAGAATGGAATAGAGAATATTAGTATTTATACATACATAAAACTCTCTGTGACGACCTTTACAATGTTTTTGCAGGTGGAATGAGAGACATGAATAAAGTGCAATATGCAGTAAATGGAACAATGTGCTTTGATGTTACAGATAGTGAAAAGTATTGAAGTGAATTTGTTCAATAACAAGCAAAAAACAAATATGTTTGAAATTGACCACTAAATGCTAACCAGAGGTGTCAAAAGTGCACATTCTTACTAAAGTTTAGATGCCTCGGGGGTCTGACCGTTGTTGTAGCACTAATAAAGTGCCAACGTAATCAGTGTAAGCAAACTAGATGAGTCCTACAATTATATAATTATTAACAGCAAATTTAGACATGAAAGACTCTGTACCAACCTTTATGATCCACTTGCAAGGTTTCCACAGTCGATGATCCATGCAGGAACGTATTTCCACCTACCATCAGGGCTGAACTGGGACAAAAAATCGGCCCGGGCATTTTGACTAGAGATCGGCCCACCAGGATAAAGATTGAAAATGTGACGTCATTCAGGGGTAAAACCGCAAAGGATTCTGGGAACTTGTGGCAAGAGGTACTAGCGCACGCAGGCGTTCAATTGAACTCAGTTACACAGCGATAAAAAGAAACCCAAAAAATGTCAAGAAGCTGTTGTATTATTAACTGCAATAGCCGGTCGCATGACAGCCACGGGAAGCCGACGGGTAAAGAGATCTTTTTTTTTTTATCGGATTACGTCGTTGAAGAGAAATTTTTTAAGCCATGTTTCCGAAGTAAGAGCCGACGGATGGTCTGGATATACCAAATATAACGTCTCAGAACACTCCAGCTCACATGTTAGTCTGCTCCAAGCATTCCCACAAAGGTCAGAGTTTTGTAGTAGTTAATACGTCATTTTTCTTAACATAATTGGTGATATAGGTTACAAGCAAGTCTGGCGCTGAACAGAAATTGTTGCGCTATGCTCCTTTATTTATTGTGCATAAATAGTGAATTGTCCTGACACAATATTACGTTTCGCTTCTGTTATTACCATGGTACATTGACAAAAACATATACTTTTATTCACAGGATAAAACAGTTGTTTTGTATCACTAATTGCCCAGTGCAATTACAACATACATTATTATTGTCATTGCTACATTTCTGTAATGCTACCAGAAATTATTTCCACTACTAATTAATTACCGTTGAGCTCAAAGGTTTTATTAATAAACGGTTAACGAATGTGTATTTATGACTACGATTTGTGAGACTGGTAAACTTACCTTTGTTTGTACGATGGTCTATCGTTCTACACGGTGCATTTCAAGGTCCTGTACCCATCCGCCAGTAAACTGTACCTGGGCTTGTTGCAGTGACCTGAAGTTACTAAACTTCATGAGAGTATGCACTCACTCCAAGAACCGTATAATTATAAATCTGAGCGTGGTGAAAGTTGAGCAGCACGCTGACGTCTTTTGTCCACTCTGTGTGCTCGTAAGGGTCTGACCCTTTCACTCCTTTGATTTTTTCCTCGTATCTTTTCTTTGTCTGTCTGAGTCTGTCTTTGTACGGACCGGCATTGTTCTCCTTTTGTTTTGTACATTCCTTTTTTGTGTGGCAAAGAAAAAACAAGAAGGTATTGGAACCGGAGAATGAACGTTTTGCGGTGCTGCAAATGCTTGCATTTGATGCAGTACTTGGATTGTTTTGCCACGAGTTCCCGGCATGCAATGCGCGAAAATCACGTGATTGCTAAACAAGGGGGAGGGTCCATCCGGCCTCCTCGGCTGTAATTGGTCCAGCCCAGAGTCGATCATGACCAATTGGCCAATCCAACACCTTTCATTATATATACCCTTCCTAAAAAAAGAAAAAAATCCATCGGCCCATAAAAACAAAAAATCGCTAGCGGCCCACCGGGCAAATGCCCGGTATGCCCGATGGCCAGTCCAGCTATGCCTACCATGGAGGTCACGTGTTTCCGGTTACTGTGGAGCTCCCCGGTGGCTGCAGCCAGACCCTTCTAGGTTAGTGTGGAGGTCGCAATATTAGCACCATTAGCAGGGCACTGTGTGTTGCAAATGTTGGTAAATCAGTTTGTGCACATAACTGAAATGTTCCCCTCTCGATGTTTAGCACTTTGACAAAGGAACAAAGAGAAATTCCCACGTCTTCCACACAGTTTTCTCTGTGTGAACACAGACAGTGGTTCTTGTACCCTGTTTGTAGGAGCTGGGATTGGACTCCACCACAGCAGCCTCTGTGTGGGATAGATGCAGTGCTCTGTAGTATAAAGCACTCTGTCAGTGAGCTGGACTCTCCAAACCAGCAGTCATCGTCTAACATCTGACTTCTTCAGCTGTAACCGTGTGTTTCTCTTGTAAACTTGGCTCTGATCATATGTGCTGTAATATTCCAGCTTTGCTTCCCGATCGTGCTGCACAGTCTGCACATGCTGGCCGGCTCCCCCAAGCTGAGAGCAGTGGGACTGCGCCTCATGACCGCTCTGTGGAAAAAACAGGTTTGCAATAATAACGCATTTCTATAAATGTCATATTCATGTGTTCAAAGCTTCTGTTTGTCTTTGATTGTGTGCTGCTTTGGTCATGTCTGTAAGGACCGGGTCTACCCAGAGCTGCAGCGTCTAATGAGCCAGCAGGACAGCAGGGTGGTGCTGGGGAGGGACGCCCAGTGGGAGCAGATCCTGGCCAGGGCCGCCTGTGTCAGGGACATCTGCAGAGAGAGGTGGGTCCTCCCATACTTACAGAAACAGTGGGCACTTCCTACATTCACTGGTTCATTCATTCAGTGGACTTTGCATGCACAGTGCAGACAGTGTGAGCTTCCAACACCAGGATTCTTCATCTTCCCTTCTAATGAGTAATAATCACTGACTGGACTCTTCATAGATGTTTCTGCTCAGCAACCTGATGAAAGTTCAGAAAAATAGAAATATTTGTTTTTTCAGTCACATCACATCAACTTTGCTTGTTAAGATAAATGAATGCACTTTGTAGCTTGGCAGTGAATGAAGCCTCAGCTCGACGCTCCACTGAGTCCCTGTTTCTCCAAAAATCAGCAGGAGTCCAGTTTTAAATATTTCCGTACAAATGTCCAGAGCAGCTACACGTGCCTGAATCCAGAAGGATCAAAGTCTTACAAAGTTCAGTTCAAACAGAGAGACTGAGAGGCAGCTAACTTCCGGTCTCTGCCAGACTATCAAAATAAAAGCATACATTTGAAGCAAAAGAAATCAAACTATGTCAGTCTGTAAGCACTGCTTCCCATATAATACAACTCTAAGCAAGTGAGCCATAACTTTATACTTTTAACCTTTAGCCCAAAAACTATGTTGATCATATAAACTCCACAAGCTGCATCCAGGCTCCTGCACACGTCCTTTACATGTTAGCTGTTAGCTAATGCTTGTCAGTTTTTGTGAACTGGCCTTTATGTGTGTTGATGAAATAAAACGATGATTTTATTTGATTATTTCCTTTGTTCTAACCAGCTGGTGCACACTGTCCATCCTCCCGGGGCCTGTTACACCTGCTAACATGTACATGCAGCTTTTTTAGCAGCATTAGTGAAAACCTGGGAAACCCTCTGGATGGATGCTACAGTACAAATTTAACAAATCATTGAGCTGTTTCGTTGTTTTCACAAATGCTTACGTTTGCTTTTATTGTAAAACATTTGCAGCCATAAGAGTTTGCAATGATAAGAAGCTGTGTTTGGCATTTACTTACTTACACGTGTCCTGGCACTTTTAATGCTTTTTTCTTAAATAAAAATGGTAACAAAATTAGAAGAAACACATTTCCCACTTTGTTCACGCTGATGTGTGTGTTAACCAGGCCTTACCAGCATGCAGGGGACATGGTGGCTGCCATTTCACTCACTTTAAAACAGTGCAACAGACCAGACCTGGTAACCCCGGCTGCTCTCGTCCTGCAGGGACTACAGGAGCTGTGTCGAGCAGAGGTACCTCGTCTGTCTCCATTTGTCTCTTTAAATTCAGGAATCATCATTTTTCTGGATCATAACTTTTGAATCTTTTCCAAAGTTCTGGTCTTAAAACAAATCTTTCTTTCTCAGGTGGTGGATATTATCTCAGCATGGAGAACTGTTTGGCCTGAGCTCAGCTGTCACTCACAGCCAGAGGTGGTTCAAGCCATCGCTGAGCTTTTGGCTCTGGTGCCTCAGCTCACAGTTAAATCAGAGCAGTACGAGGTGCGTCGTAACGTTCATGTTGCTCTGTGTTGAGGAGCTAACAGAGCGACACAGGAACTCCACCAGGTTATGTTTTTCTCTGTGGTTCTGTCTGTAAACAGGACTCTCACCAGCTGTTTGTATAACCTCACTGTAGAATCACATCTCTACATCACTGTGTTTGGTAGCTAAAGTTAGCACATCAATGTAAAGCTGGGTAGAAGCACAAAGTACAGACGTGTGAGGGTCCAGTCCTCAGAGTCCTGCTGTGGTCGGACTTCACAGTAACTAATAAATGGATCAGCGAGTGTGAGCATCTTTTTAAAAACAGAAGTTTTGGTAATTTGTTGCTCTGGAGGATTCAACACAGTGCAGCAGTGGCCGTCCCAGCAGATGAGTCCTAGACCATGCAGTGCTGCTTGTTAGAAAGCTTTCCTCCTGTCTAACAATGATATGGCAGTACAGCTTAGGTTTGCAAAGTTGCATCTAAACAAACACAAGACCAAAGGCCAAAACCAAACATGGTGTATTAGCACAGGACGGCTGATAGGGATGCTTTTGGGTTGCAGCCACAGGACCTGTGCAGCACCTTGCAGTCACTGAGTCAGCCACAAACTTCTCTGCTGTGTGAACTTAAGCTTAGTGAAAATCAGTGAATGTGAAATAAAACCAACGGCTAAACCTCCTTAGGAAACTCAACTCCTTTGGAGTCAGCACACCCATCATGATGACTTTTTACTACGCCTTCCTGGTTAATTGCCCCTTGGAGATAAATAAAGTCTCTCTGATTCTGATTCTGATTGTGTGTGTGTGTGTGTGTGTGTGTGTGTGTGTGTGTGTGTGTGTGTGTGTGTGTGTGTGTGTGTGTGTGTGTGTGTGTCAGAGTGTGACCCCATAAACGACTTCCCTTAACCTGCTGGTCTGGAAAATCCAACACTTCATCTATATGTAAAAAAGGCACTTAGACTAAAACTGACATAGCTACGTTAATCTTACTGTAACACAATAACACAAGGTACGACCTCTCATGCTCCTAGGATGTGGGGGTGAACACCAGAACACCCTGGAATGTTACAGACCTCCTAGGATGAGACATTCTTTCAATATGCCACCAACTGTATACTTCTAACACAAATGATTACATGCAGTATTCTACCATATGCAAACTTATATCATTAAAAGACTATACTGACTACTAAGTACAATTTTCCATTGACATGGTCTTAAACCTTTGATCAGCTGTAAAACAGCCGTTTTCAGTTTAAGCGTTGTTTTCAATAAATTGCATGCTCAACAAAATGTTTTGTCTCACTCTCATTTCTTCTTGTTGCATGTTAAAGCTCTACGTGGAACCTTATTGAGATCCAACCATTTTTTGCCATTTTTGAAGTGGTTTAAACTTTTATCGGGACTGTAGTGATGGAAAAAAATCAAATGTGGTTTGTTTGTTTTTTCAATTACAAACACAAATTAATCTAAAACATCTTAACGCTGTCATGGTGATGACCCAGCTGGAATTAAGTTGTACTTGCACAGGTTTAAGATTAAATATATAAAAGGAATTTCTTTAGTACCAAAAAAGAGAGAAACAGAGCAGTTACTGACTCTGCTCTGAATATTTCTCCAGCTTTTTGTATTAATAGTTCCTCAGAACTTGCAAAAGGTTCTTGCAGTTTTTTATCAATAAGATAAACCGGCTTCAACCGGCTTGATACTGTTGGCCAAAGCATCTTGATCTCGCAATTGGAGCATTAGATTGGTTCAGGTCATACCTGCTTGACAGGACTTTCTCTGTGAGCTTCTGAGATTTTATGTTTCCCTTTAGCTCCCCTTACTTGTGGTGCTCCTCAGGGATCTATGCTGGGGCCAATTTTATTCTCTATTTATATGCTGCCTCTAGGTCTAAATTTTAGGAAATATAACATTTGTTTCCATTCATACACCGATTACACTCAGATCTACTGTCAAGTGAAGCGAGGCTGTCCTGCTCCACTAGAACCCTTACTTCAATGTCTCCGTGAAGTTAACGCCTGGATGTCTTGATGCATTCTCAATCATCCAGGTAAGTAAATCTCCAAAAGTTTATTCTGTTCATCTGGACGTTTTCAGTGGGAGAAACGTTTCCCCAACTCTCTGTCAATGGTACTCATGGCCATTGATCAGGGGTCTTTGATCAGTGGTTGTTGATCAATGGTCATGAGAATAATTATGATGAAGGTGACCTCCCAGCCCATTGTTCCTTCAGTGGGCTGGTTTCAGTCATTATGCAAATGTCCTGTTTATAAGATTTGGGGAAACCTGCAGACAGCTGAGACTGAAGAAGTCACCTGGATGATGAGGAAACGTTTCTGAAAACGTCCAGATGAACAGAATAAACTTTTGGAGACTAACATCTGGATTTCCTCTAACTTCCTCAACTTTAATGAGAACAAAACTGAAATGTTTGGACCAAGTGGCAGCACTTATCATTTTAACCTGCACAGTCTTGAACCTTTTATGAAGTCGAACGTTAAATATTTGGGGGTTATAGTTGACAAAAATTAAAAAACAGATTAGCTCAGTTGTACAGCGGGTTTTTTTTTTTTTTCAAACTGAGGCTTATATCTAAGACGAGTTCATTTTTGTCTTTTAAAGTCTTTGAACGGGCAATCCAAGCTTTTATCACATCCCAGCTGAACTATTATCTCATTCACTGCCATTGACGTCTATAGACGTCAATTACGTTTTTCAATGGGAGGGGCTAGAATACAACCTCGGGCAGCTTGTCAGTGAATATCAGACTTGCATTCATGGTATGTAATGACAAAAATGTGGTGCAAGTCTTGTTGTGTGCCCTTGCATCCCGGAAAGTGTTATAATGATTACCACACAAAAGTGAATTATTCATTGTGAATAAATGTTTCACTATGTACATTTTATTTTTTCATATATTTGTAAATAAATTGTTTTGATAAAACATAACCTTTCTCAGTGTTATTTCTGTTTTATACAAGTGAAAAACTATTTTATATGTTAGAGGTGTCACAAAGCAAGAAATATTAGTGTCAAAGGCACTTTTCTGCTTGAAATGTATTTTTCACAAAAAGCTCGTTTTCTCTCTTTTTTTGGTCAAAACAGGCATTTTTGGTGGAACCCACCTCTCTTCTACAGCTGATTACTAAAGAATGGAAAATGGTAGAAACAAGCTTTTTTTTTTGGATGAAAGAAGAGAGTCTGTTCTTCATTTTGGTAGGTTCAGCGTTTATATGATCATAACACACAGTTTTCTGTGGCTCTTCAAAATGAGTAAAAATGCTCAAAAACCCTGGCAGTGGGGAGTTACCTGATTTGAAAATGGCTGGCAGTGAATGAGTTATAACTCCTTATATGTTGGAGTTAGTCAGACCTGCCTCGCAAGACTCCAATTGGTCGAAAACGCTGCAGCTCGTCTTCTGACACGAACTAAAAGACGTGAACATATTTCCCTGATGCTCGCCGTTCACTTCAGAATTGATTTTAAAATACTATTGTCAACTTACAAAGCACTAAATGGACACGCTCCAGGGTATTTGTCTGACCTCTTGCAGCCTTATGCGCCCTCTAGATCTCTTAGATCAAATGATTTGTTGCTTTTAGCCGCACCAAGGTCGAGGCTGGTTCACAGAGGCCATCAAGGGTTCGTAGCCCCTAAATGTACCCCTACACATCAGACAGGCTCCTACTGTCAGTCTTTTCAAATTTCATCTAAAAACACATTTGTATTCACTGGCTTTTCATACAGTACAAATTATTTGATACTATTTTGTATTTCTGTACAGGACTTTGGTCAGCGTTGCTGTTGTATTTAAATGTGTAAATAAGAACGATAATGATACAAAAGCAATCAATTATGATCAAATTAACAGCTGCTGTCTGTCGTGTTTTGTTTTATTCTTAAGCTGCTGTGTATAATGTTTCTGCAACATCAGTTTGTCAGGAGTGTGTGAAGCTACACAGGGTGGCAGACCTGCACCCTGTGCATTTAAGGCCTTCATAATGACACATATTGTGTTCCATATAAGAATGAAATATGAATAAAAATTCTTATTTGCCAGGTTCTAACACTGATTCTGAAGCAAACTGAGAAAACAGAGCAGCATGAACATGCATACAGTCATACATGAGGGGCATGCATTGCAAACAGTTTTATACAGTGGAAAAAAAAAACACGTTTTGAAGGATGTGACCAGGGACGTGTTGTTTCACAGAGACGCAACAGAAACACAGAAGACAAAAATAGTTTATTTAAGACAAAGAAGAAGTTGGTGTTTGTAAAAAATAAAAAGGAAACACAGCAGTCTCTGCATGCAGACCCACGCTGGTCCCTGTGTTTGTAAGCAGAGAATAGATCTGGTCCATGAACTGTGTGGTAGAGCTGGAAAATAAAACAGCTGTAGCTGTTATCTTCTTTAGAGTTCAATAATTTTACAGTTTCCGTTCATAACTGTCTTCATTACAAATCAATAAACATTACCAGCTGGAGCGTGTTCAGCAGTGCATGTGACTCGTCAGAGCAGCAGAGCCCTAAAACAACAACACATCATATAAAAATCTGCACGTAGAGCCTTAAACCACAAACTCTGAATAAGAATAACTTTTTATTTTTCATGCTTTGCATTCACATAATTAGTTTTAAGGTTGAACTGGTGCAACATCCACAGAGTGCAACAAGAAAATGAACCCAAATCACTTTATATTAACATGTCTTCTAACATGCTTTGGTTGAACAGTAGAAAAAATCCATGCTCTTGTGAAGTGCAATAAAAATAATATAAATATAGTTAACAGGACGCTTCAGTTAGGTCTAGTTTAAAACATTTTCTAAATGCTTTTTAATTTTACAAATATCTCGAGGAGTTATTTTATTTTTCTCAAATGGAAATGTTGATAAAAATATCAGTCAATTAGTATTTTGGTGTAACTTTGTTAAAACACACAAAAGCAGTCATGTGTGGCCGTCCCTGTCAGACAGCCGTGTGCAGCGGGGTTCCTGCGGTGTGTGTCGGAGAGTGGTCCGAGGAGGACGACAGGGAGTGGGATGAAGCCTCTCTTTGCAGCTCCTCCACCCTCCTCTGGAGCTCTGCTCTCAGGATCAGCAGATCCTTCAGAGTCTGGTGCACTGGTACCTGAAACACAATCACAGCGTGAGGAGCTACAGTCTTTCTCCAGCAGTCCTCAGTAGACTCAGCTCGGCACAGCTGAGACTCTTACTGTGAGCTCTGTCTGAGTGTCTGCTGTTTGTGAGTGAACTCCAACACCATCAGGGGATAAGCAGCCAGAACTGAATAGAAAAGAAGATGTTTTCTTCTCTGTATTATAAAAAATAAGCTCCTTCGTCTGGGATTATTTGATCAAAATTTATCTTCCCTTCTCTCATCAGGTCCCGTGTCCCGGCATGACCAGGTGACTGAGAGCAGCTGTGTGGCTCAGCTTCCCCTGAACCCACTGCTCCACCCTCCCCTGCAGCTGAGCCACAAAAATAACATCCACAACTGCACCAAAGAGTAAAACAGTGAAATATAGAACTTAGACATTAGTTCTCTATCATATCGAGACTCCACTCTCCAGAGATTCTTACTCAGAGAACCAAGGTCACAATGTAACCATACGGTCTCTGTTGCTCGGTTCCTGTTAGTACATGAATCAATAATTGATCAGCCCGCGACCCTGACAAGGAGAAGCAGAAGCGGGTGGATGGATGACTAAATCCATCATGAGAGCTTTCTTGTAGATCTTGTTTCTGTTACCTGTTGTTTTCTGGTAACATTTATCTGTGGTGAACATCTCATCCCTAACCAGACTCCTTCACCAGCTACCACCTGCGTACCTGTGGCCTCATGCGTGGGTTCCAGCGGGCATAGTAACTGGTCCAAAGCTCCAGGTGTCTGGGCGAAACCATCGGGTAGAGAACGTGGTTTTCATAGTCCACGTAGAAGGGGTTGGTGAAGTCCTCGGGCTGGCTGTCAGGTAACAGCATCAACCAGTCAAAACCTTTCAGTAATCTTGTCCACTCACGCTTAACATAACCAGCGAGGTCATTAACGTACCTGTTGATGTACGACCAGAGAGACACAGTCTTGGCTGGAACCTCCTGCACAAAACAAAGTTAGACTTTCAGCTGAAACAGCTTCTATGACCCTGTTGCATCAGGACACGAACATACCTGGTTGGCCCGCTCCTGTTCACTGCTGTAGAGGAATGTACCAAACAGACAGCTGTACAGATGGTCCAGCACGGTGATCAGGAAGAGCTCATTGAACTCAAAGGCTGCTGGGAACTGCGTTCAGAACGAGTCAGAGAAATGATGTAAATACGTACACACAAAGACATACATGCCAACTCCTGGAATCAAGAAACGAACACGATGTGCTGTTGAAGCTGGAGTCCAGGACCGACCTGTCGAGTCATCTGCCAGACGCAGTCGATAAACTGGACGAACAGAGGCGAGCGCTCTGAGTTAGCATGGTTCTCATCACCGTGGCCCACGCGCTTTAACACAGGGGAAAAGTAGTTATAAGCATTTGTTCAGCCTGCCTGACGTCGTTTCAAATCTTCATATTTCTTACATCTGATATGTTTAATATGAAACTAGACTCCTGCATCATTTCTGAGCTTTTACACAGAAATATACAACCAGTCAAAAGTATGGATGTTGTTCCTTTATTTTCATGAGTGTTTACACTGTAGATTCTCACTGAAGGCATCAGAACTATGAATGAACACATGTGGAATTCTGTAATAACAGAAAAGTGTGAAATAACTCAGAACATGTTTGATATTTCAGATTCTTCCAAACAGCCTTTGCTTTGATTCCTGCTTTGCTCACTCTTGGCGTTCTCGCCATGAGCTTCATGAGGTCGTCTCCTGAAACGGTTTCCAACAGTCTTGAAGGAGTTCCCAGAGATGCTGAGCACTTGTTGGTCCTTTTGCCTTCATTTCTGCATCGCACAAAGACTCGGCAGGTGGAACCAAAGATCTCAGATTTGGACCCATCAGACCAAAGCACAGATGTCCTCTGGTCTAATGTCCACTCCTTGTGTTTCTCAGCAGCTGTTTGACCATAAAAGCCTGATTCACACAGTCTCCTCTGAACATGTAGAGATGTGTCTGCTACTGGAGCTCTGTGTGCATCTATCTGGGCTCTGATCTGAGCTGCTGTTAACTTGTGATTTCTGAGGCTGGTGACTCGGATGAATGTAGAGGGGACTCCTGCTCTTCCTTTCCTGGGGCGTCCTCATGTCAGACAGTTTCATCGTGGTCTTGATGGTTTTTGTGACAGCACTTGGGGACACATTCAAAGTTTTAGCAGTTTTACAGCCTGACTGACCTTCAGTTCTTAAAGTAATGATGGGCTGTTGTTTCTCTCAGCTGATTGGTTCTCACCATAATATGAATTCTGACAGTTGTCAAATATGGCTGCCAGCTGTGCACCAACCTGACTGCTGCACAACACACCTGATGGTCCCAACCTCATTAAGAAGGCAAGAAATTCAGCAAATGAGCCCTGACAGGCTCACCTGTGAGGGGAAACACGTCAGGTGACCCCATCATGAAGCTCACTGAGAGAAGGCCGAGGGTTTGCAGCGCTGCCAACAAAGCAAAGGATGGAATCTAAAATATAAAACATATCAATTTTTCCTTTGCTCTGCATTTGCCGTTCAGTTTCCTGCCCTATTTTCAAATTATTAATTAGTATTATTAATTAATTTTGCAAACTATCTGACAGACTTCTAACTGTGGAGCTGGCGAGGTAAAGAATGCCTGATGTTGAGTCGTATCATTTGCTTTCTCATATACAACTAAAAGCTTCCTTAATAACAAGGCATGCATATTTAATATGGTGCAGATTTTTATGACAGATCTTCTCGTAAGTATTTCTCCTCCTGGACTCGGAATCTCTGCATGTGAAGCAAATGCATTACAGCACCTCTAACTTGTTTACATATGCAGCGACACTTGAGCGTGTACATGAAAAGCAAAGGCTCGTGAATGTACTTCATTCCAGGTAACTATGTAAATGACTGCATGTTGATGCCAGATTGTTATGTTGTTATGTAAAAAATAGGGATATAAAGCAAACCAACAAATATTATATGTAGCAGACTCTTACAGCAGCAAACTTGTGTCCAAAACTAATCCACTCCTTCTCCACTAAAACCTGCAAACACAAGCATATATATGTTTAGTACGTTACTACATGCAAAGATGAGGTTTGGAGTGTGTACTTGGTGTGTGTAACCTGGAAGCCTCTCAGTGTGCGATAGTAACTGTCCAGCATCAGCATGGCCAGAGAGGTAAGCTGGGCTGTCCTGTCCCAGCCGTCGCTGCAGTGAACCACCACTGACGTCTTCCCAGACTCCAGCTTATCAGCTACCTTTGCTGCTCCTGCTAATAACAGCTAAACACAGCAGGGCCGTGTGGTTAAGATCTATTCTTTGCATAAGGAAACAGCTTGTTCCTTCTTTTATGTGGCTGGCGTGCGTTTGTGTCGTTTACCCGTATGTACTCCAGCCAGTGCGTCTGGTCGATAAAGGAGTGCCAGTGGGCTTCGTCTATGGTAGGATAAACGACATCCTTCATCTTCCTGAGAGACTCCCTCATCACATGAATGTTTGGAATTTCCAGGAAGTTTAGCTCTACATTGGGGTAGAAACTCTCGCTTTCATACCCTCCATCCTTTCCCTGCATGTGATGGAGGCAGCGGAGGAGTCCAAAAGAAAAAGAGAGATTTCCGTGTTAATAAGTGATGTAAGGGTGAGCAGTGATGAAGAAGCATGTCTCTATAGCAGCGTGGTTAAAACGCTCTGTGTTGCACCTTGTTGGTGATGGCCACGCTGCTCTGTCGGGCATCAAAGATGGTGAGCTTGTGGGACTGAGCGTTGGCGTCCATGATGATTTGGAGAAAGCGTTCGTCTTCTTTACAGCGACGGTCTGACGGCCCAACTAGCGGCTGGCTACAGCGTACAATGGTGGCCTGAGACTCCGGGTGGATCCAGGACAAGACCTGCAAGCAGGAAGAGCAAGACCAGTTCAAGCGAGCCAAACACACTGAGCACAGCATGAGGAAACAGCTCGGACAGAATCTAAACTAACATTCATTTTGTGTGTTCCCATAAATACTAAAGTTACAAAGCAAGATGTATGGCTAACTGACAAGTCATCAGCCAATGAACCTGCAAACATCGCGGGAAGCTTGCAGCAGCCTATTGCAGCGTAACATCAGGGAGGTTTAGGGTCAGCTAATCCAGCCCTAACTATATCTTTAATCTTAAAAGTAGAGACGCTGTCTGTCCCTCGAATCCAAACTGGGAGCTGCTCCCGTTCTACTCTGAGATAAAGAGCAAAGCCTCAGATCTGTGCTCAGACTGACCGGTATACGGTGCTTGGCTCTGAACACAGCCACTCGTTTGATGTCTTCATCTGTGATGTTGGTGGGGATGACCAGGATGGAAGGATACGTGTCACATAGCTCGTAGGTGCTGTTTATCTTACTGATGGTCCAGCTCTCATTAGGAAGCCCCTGACAAAAGACATGCAAGCAGAGGAAAGAAACAAAGTCTGGATAATGTAGAAAACAAATCTGATACACACGTAACTTGTTCACACATAAAATGTTCAGGATGCTGGAAAAGTGCTATTAAAAAAGAAACAGAGAAACATTTTGCAACAAATGAGGTTAACTGGCAACATGTCAGTCGTAGAGTAACGGCGCCCGTGGAGTTACCTGACGTCTGTATTCTGCTGCTGGGTCATACACCTTCCAGCCGTCCACAGGAAACTGCTCTTTGTACAGGAAGGCAAACAAGGGCTGCCCGAGGAAGTCACAGTTACAGTATTAGTCATGCAGATGTGACAAACAGTAGTTTTTACTATAACCGCCCTCACTCACGACCAGTTTGCCTTATGGGACTAACCAAAAGCCTTCTACAGCTAACTGTCAAACTCCTCACTATCCTCCAACCTTTGCTCCTCTTTATCATTTTGTATGTTGGTGCTTGCGTCTGCTATCTGTCACTGGATGTCGTGAGGCAGATCTGAGTGACACGTCAGTTAAAAGCAGTAAATACAGGACAAGAGAATTAAACTGACCAGACTGTGGGACAGAGGAAAGGCATGTTTGGTCAGCACCTCCACCACGTCCGGCTGGCTCTCCTCCATCTTATAGGCAAACCTGGGACTCCTCATGTCCTGAAGCATGAAGCAGGAAACTGCTCAATCAGCAGACTCGCCAAAATAAGACATTTGCACATTTTCTGGGTTTTTCTTTTATTGCTGTTAACTAAAAATGCCTATAAGATGTTAGATGACGTGTTTTAACACATATAATCATGCATTTGTGTGACTGCTTGTGTATTAAAGCGGTACCTTGCAGACCAGCTCCAGTCCCTTGTTGTTCTCTCCTTGGTTGGGAACACTGATAGATTCGATCCTGCTGATGACTCCCAGGTTCACATCCAGAATGAAGGGAGAGTCCTGAATGGACACACTAACATGAACACACTGGTACAGATGGAGCGCGCTACAGCACTTCTAATAATCTAGCAGACCTTTTCCACACTGATGAAGTACAGCTTGTAGTCTGTGATGGTCAAAGTCCCAGTAACCAGACCGCTGAATGGACAAATGTACATCACATCCTTGACTGTAGGAAAAGAAAAGCGCCGATTACACAGGTGTATTTGTATGACTGGACAATACACATAGAGACTAGGAAGAATGAAGGTACCTGTAGTTTGGATGGTCTCTCCAGGGAGCAGAGGAACCTGGTTCTGGAACATTTTGACCTGTGCTCCGTATCTCAGACCTGGGAGGGTCTGCAAAGATCACAGATCACTCAGTGGGACCACTACACACCTGTTTTATGCTAGCTAGTACTTGCAGACACATCGTTATCAAGCCTGTAATGGAGAGGTATTTTGCTACTGTTGCAAAATAAACTCATCAGTGTTAGAACAATAATCCTTTTTGCTAAAGCATATAGTTCGAGCTGGATCCTCCCTTAGTTATGCTGCAATAGGTGTAGGCTGCTGGGGGATTCCCATGATGCACTGGGTGTTCCTTCTTCACTCACTAAAGCTGTGTCCCAAAGTGCTCCAACGTTTTCGGAGACATCTGTTACCCACCAGCTCGATAGCTAGCCGGGGTTCAATGGTCACTCGAGCCAGCGAGAACTGCAAAATCCCCGCACGCTGTTTTCAGACTCCGCCGTGTTTCGCTACTGAGGTTAAACATGATATATCAGTCACTTAGATAACTTAAAAATGTTAATGTTTGGCTTTTTTCAGTATTTTATTTGTTCGTGAGTAAATCGGTTTGGCTGAGATTAAAGTTATAGTTTTTATACAGCTGGATAAACGTCAAAAGAGACCGTCGAGAGTTTGCTCCAGCGTCCTGTTAAATTATAGATAGCAAGGAGCAGACGGCCGAGTTTATTAAACTCCACCGAGACAGCTAGTGTTGCAAAACTGAAGGCTGGATGGTCCAATTTCAAAGCTCTGCACTTCCGGCCTCCTCGGTCTACTTGGGCCGAGAAGGCCTCCAAAGGAGGCCGGGTCCTCCTTACTGCAAAGGATACATCCTAGGTTTTGGGACACAGCTTATGTGTTAACAGACCTCTCTGCACTGAATCATACTTGTTATTAATCTCTGTCTCTCTTCCACAGCATGTCTTTATCCTGTCTTCCTTCTCTCTCCCCAACCGGTCGCAGCAGATGGCCCCGCCCCTCCCTGAGCCTGGTTCTGCCGGAGTTTTTCCTTCCCACTGTCGCCAAAGTGCTGCTCATAGGGGGTCATATGATTGTTCAACAATACTACTGGTTTTAATGTTTTGTCTGATTCTTAATCAGGACCTGGCTACCACACACATTCTACATTTCCAAGAATACAAATCAGTAACATCTTTTATAAGACCCTCCCTGACTGTTGTACATGTCATTTTGCCAGGATAGCGCAGCAGCACTAAGGGAAAGAAGAGTGAACGGAAAGGATGAAGCAGGCAGACCAACAGAGCGAGGAGCAAGAAAACTGAAGAAAAGTAAGAGACAGACTTGCCAAAGCACTGGAAGGATGCTCAGAGTCAATGTCTCCATGGTAACAAAGCCCTTCATCCTGTGAATCCTGCTGCAGGGAAAAGCCAGCATGAAGACAGTGAGACAAAGAGACAGAGAGAGATTATATAGTAAAAGGACACGCTTATAGACTGAAAGATGTTATGTGTTTGAAGATGTGACGACACAAGTGCATCACTCCCTTTGAGAGGGCGGTACAAAACAAAGTCTAGCTCGTGTGAAACAGATGAGCACAGAATTATTGGGCCGTCTATGAAAAATGTTTAAAGTAGGTTTGTCAAGTTTCCCAAGTGTTGTTAAACAGCAGGGAGTTTTTAACAGGGTTCCCAAACATCTGAGGTTTATATGATGGATGTGCACACTATGTCCCCTTTCACATAGAAGCAAATTAATTTCACAAAACCTACCAGAGTCAAAAATATTAGCTCCCCTGATGCTAATGTGGACTCGTTCGTTAGTGCTTTTCTAGTCTACGTGAGCACTCAAAGCATCCCTCGTTCACCAATCACGTTTTACCTCTGACAGATGCAATAAAGAGCAAGTTGGGGTTTAATAACATCGATCATGTTAAGCCGGCCGCCTTAATCATTTTGCTGTTTCAGCTGTAAAAGTGTCAAAAAATCATCTGAGAGTTTTTGTCCCCTTTGTCAGGACGACTATTTCTTTCAACATCTGGTAGTTGTGTTGCTCTCCTGTAAACTATAAGAGTGTTATCAGGGATAATAAGAGAAAAACACAAATATTTGACAATTTATATGAATGAGCATCAGAATGTACATGAATAAAATTAAACAGCAAAAGGATGAACTGTTAAACACTGAAAAACAACAAGTATGTGACCTTTGACCCTGTGGAGTGTATTTGGGCATCTCTTTTTTTTCTAAATAATTCCAGGCATTTTGGGCCCTGGTAGAGCTCCAGGAAGCACTTCCTGTCAAGCTTGAACCCCAGGCCTAACGACCCCACTCTGCTCCGCCTGTGTGGTGGATGCACTTGGATGCACTTCCACCAGAACTTCCTGACCACAAACCACTTTTAATTCACATCTCAAAACTCATCTATTCAGAATTGCATACACCTGCTCTGTCTTAGTCCATTTTTACTTGCTCAGCTTTTATACTGTCATGCTTGTGTTTTTCTTATTTACCTTATGTCTAAATGTTATTTTGCCATGTTTTTTATATTGTTGCGATTGTTCTTGTGCTATTGTAAGGTGACCTTGAGCCTCTTAAAGGCACCTATAGATAAAATGTATTATTATTGTTATTATAACAAACCAGACCTAGGTTTGCTCAGAAGCTTCACAGATCCATTCAGGATTCCTTCCACCCACTGGCATGATTCCCAGTTCTAGAAACACTGAATTATTCCCACAGCTTGATGCTCCCACCACTGTGATGGCCTTCACATGCAAACACTGTTTGGTAACTTTAATGTCCCCAATGGGAAATTGATTTGCAGCCACTCCACTCATCAAACAACATCGAGTTACAAAAAAAACCCCACTTTAATTAGATTTTCTTATTGAGGCGCTACAGTTTGTCTGGTTGGTTTCTTTCTCTGTTGCAGTGGAGTCAGTTTCATACTTAATTAAGAATGAAAAAAGAAAGATGAAGAAAAGCAGAGAGGGATAAAACAGGAAGTACAGTGAGCAGAGAGCAGCAGCAGCTCCGGTCCGTCTGCAGCAGGAGGCTGATTTGGTTACACACTGTCACACAGTAACAAACTGCTCAAATTTGCATCACATGCAATATTTATTCAGAGCACGTCCTAAAGCCGTTACAGGTATTCGTCTAATTTGAACATTTGCTGTATCACAAGAATCACAGTCAAGAGGCAGCTGTTGCTTTATCCCAGGCTACAAAACTCCTGTGTGTGTGCAGTACACTTGTGTTGTAAATGTGTTGAAAGGACAACAACTCTTACCCTGCGATTCAGCCTCTTGGACACCTGGAGGTTAAACACACCACATGGACATGAAATGGAAAGCACTAATGTGACACTCTGGTTCAACCCAAAGGTTATCTTTAATGTGTGGCACATCAGTCTGTGTTTATAACAGAAGGATGCAAATAGACAAGCGCGCAGAAGCAACCTCCAAACAATGAGCCTCAAAATTCAAGCAAAGACAACAAGTGACAAACAGCCGATACAAGTTCAGACAAGCTGCAGGAAAGCTGCGCTTCTAACTTTGTTCTAATGAAGTGAGCCTTAAATCGGAGGGTTTGATCTGACACAGTGGAGGTGAATTCACTACACACATTTCATTAGATGTGCACAGAGTGGTGTCTTTTTACATTCAGGAGCTATTTGTCATTTCACAGACAGTGTACATACCACAGTGGTGACAGTGAAGTCTGTGCTACTCTGGTTACATTTCTCAAGACTGTGATAAGTTCCTGGAAATGCAACTTTTCAAAGAAATAACACAACTAACACTGTTCAGCTCACAGTTCTCAGCAGCTATAAGCAGAGTTTGGTTCCGATCTGGATTTCGGGAAGGAAAACTCCAGTTCTCTGAATATTGGTCAGCCTTATTGCTCAGGTGCAACGTAATAGCTGTAGAAGATGTAGTGAGGTGTTATCATATTTTATCGTCAGCGTTTGCAAAGATCTAATGTTATACAACCAGGGGCCACAGTTTGGTCTCTCTCTGCAGGTCTAGTGTGATGTGTTAGACTTGCAAACAATACAGCTAAACCCTGCTAAATAACAGATCTATATGAGCAGCATCGTCTAGTTAATAAAGCACATTGCATATAATGTGCAATACATAGAACATTACACCTCTACCTGATCTGAGGTCTAACAGACAAAACTCAATATGAATGAGCCAAAATGCGCCTCGCTACAGAGCGGTGGTTGCAGAGAGCAGGCCGCTGACAGACAGAAGCAGTCGATAACTTGCTCAGTAGTGTCCCTAAACAATGACAGCAGACTTTATCATTCATATGGACTTAACAGACAAAACTAGGCGCCCACACTCAAAGCAGCTCACATGGAGACGTCTCCGAGACTTACCATGAAGTCTGGTCTTCTCCCAGCCTATTAGTTACAGAATACACACGGATGAGAATCACTGCCAGCAGTGTGTGTGTCTGTGTGTGCTGTGTGTTATCTACCTTGATGTCCCTGCTCCCAATGTCTGGTTGGACTGATCCTGAGATCTGACTGGAGATTGTGGCTGCTATTAGCTGTTTACACCATTCTACGTGAGAACCTGTTGGACTGAACACAGAGTGAAACAGTGAACTGACGTATATTCGGCTATATTCACGTTTAACATCATCACTGTAAGATGCATGTGTTAAACAGATAAACATCCTCTGTCAGTGAGGACGATGTTCAGCTGACCACATGTTACAGATGAGAACGTTCCCCCAGCTCAAAGAGCAGAATCCCTGTGTAGTAACAATGTTATTAATGCATAACTAATATTATTTCAACTGCAAACGATGATTGCTAAGAAAACCAACACTGCCACTAAAAGCTGCCAGAAATGTTGCTGGACTGAGTCTGCCATCAGACTGACACCAGCCTGCAACTACACGGGGTGAAGTTGCCAATTATATGCAATCTGTCTCTGATATAAACTGCATTGTGACTTCAGTCAGTCCAAGTCAGACTTTTGTAGTATTCACAGAGTATTTTCATTTATTTAATAAAATGTTGATTTTTGGATGCAAAATTTGATGATACTTTGCTGTATGGATTTTGTCTCCCACTCCTGAGCCAGACAGTACAACATCCTGTCCCTGAGCTTTGACAGCGGTTGTCTGAGTGATGGAGACATACGGTCGGTCTCCATGACAGTCCTGAATATCAAGCCGAGAACAATATATCAGCTCATATGAAGCTTGTCGGTGACAGAAGATAAGCCAGTGCCTCTGACAGACTCAGTCTGGATTGGAGCAGCTTTGTGGTGTGAATGTCTTGGAATGTTGAGGGGGAGGAGTTACGACTGTGTGACGCTTCCTCCAGTTTTAGTACTATAATGGGGGGATGATAAGCAGGCATCAGCATAAAGACTACATAAAGAACATGGTTCCTACCCAGCACAACACAACCCCACGTTTCAGTGTCGGCATTGTTTTAACAGGAGCAACATTGTAACGTTTCTGTCACCACGTCATCTCTCCCTCAGGTGGCTGCGCTGCACGTCGCTTCCTCTGAGCGGCAGATACGGATACGTAACTCGGCGTCTGCAGGCTGGGTGGCCATATTCCGCCTCATTCCTGTGCATTTCCTATATGCTGTGTTAATCACGTGACCGTATTATTTTGTCAGCTACTGTGTTGTATGTTGTGGTTCCAAATAACACTGAGATGAAATGCTAACAAGCTAAATGAGTGTTTTGTCACGTTGGAAAGTTTGACTCAAGCACTGGTCTGTGGATCGATGCCGAGATGAAGGTGTGAAGAAATACTACTAATATTTCATGTTGCTGGTGTTCAGTGGGAAAGCGAGGCGAGCATAAGTAACAAGCTGGGCATCGACGTCACGTTTTCTCGTTAGCGAGCCTGCTTACCTGTCCAGGGTATCACCGGCTGCCGCGCCGCAAGTCGGCGAGCCCCACGGCTTTCTGTTCGCCCCTGCACCGTCCCCAGCGCCGGCACCTCCGGCCTGTTTCTCCATCTGTCACACGACTGCTTCGTTTCTGGGTCACCGGGGGGCGCAGATGATGGTTTCCTCTGATACAGACAAGGGATGCGGATGAAACTAAAGCTCGGTGTAATTCCAGTGTCCGCTCCCAGCGGCTGTAATGGATCTTTAAGGACTCCGAACGGTGTAAAGAAACTAATCAGAGGCTCGACAGCGGATCTCACATGCAGTGGTTTCCTCTGCTTTGGTTGTTTGCACTTCCTCTTAGTCGCATCTATACCCGCAGCATTGTTGTTCGCAAACAGTGACGTCGCCACGGCTTCTACCAGTGCTAAGGATGCTGTTGCAGGGTCTGACCGACAGGCGTCGCCATTTAGACAAAACTGCCACATCAGCGCAAGAAGAAGAAGAAGTCAACACGGAACGAAGAAAAATGCCACGAGAGGATGTGGGTGTCAAACATGTTCATCAAATAATAACACAATACAAAAAACACACGAATAAATAAATAACCACATATTCTATCTTAAATTAACCTGTCTGAATTCACCACATTTAGGACTGCTGGTAGAAACGGGGGTAACTGCTTAAAGGATGTTTCATATAATCTTTAAATGCAGAAAAGTTGGAGCAACTGCAAAAAATCTACATCATTAATTAAAATATTACAACAAAATTCTGTCACAGGTATTCTTCAAGACCAATAATAAACATAGGATGCACTGATATAGCATGTATACAGCATACATATATAAAGAAAATATCTTCTTGAGCTAATTTTTTTTTTTTTTAACAAAAACTCCAAGCTTTCCTAACATCAACCTGAAAAATTCATCACCCTGATAATTATCAGTAAATGTCTTAAATTAACTACTTTCTTTATGGGTAATAAATTAAATGACAATAATTGGTTTTCACTTTTTCTCCACACTTGAAAAATCTATGAAATTATATTTTTTCCTTTTTTACAGGAAGAGGAAAACATGCTTTTGTAACTGGTAAACTCGCAATTTTTATTATTATTTATTTTTTTAAACACCTGTGCAGAGGAACAGGAACATCATTCAATCATAAATCAAAATCAATCATCAGCCTGCAGCCTGGGCTGTCCTGGTGCCACGTGCACTTATGGACACCTCTATGTTCAAACATGGTGTTTGTTGCGTTTTACACAGAAGTCTGCTCAACAGAACACTGCTCCGGTTCACATCTGGCAGGCTGTTCACATCACTTCCCTCCAGGGCCCTGTTTCAGGAAGCCGGTTTAGAAAACTCAGAGTGAAAAACGATACGCAGGGTTGAGTAACCCCGAACTGTCCAACTCAGAATATTCGGTTTCAGAAAGGCTGATAACAATTAGTTCAATCAACGCGGAGTTGCTTTAACCCCAAGTTAAGCGCGCGCACGAGGATACATAAAGCCCTGATAAGCGGAGCACAGATTAAGCGAGTCACCATGGAGACGGAGGGAAAGAAGGCGCGGTCAATGTATTTTACAGCGCTTGAGGCCGAAATTCTGATGGCAGCATATGCCGATAACATGCAAATTCCGCGGAAAAAAGTAACACAGCCTCAGCTGCGAAAGAAAGGAAGCATGCATGGCAAAACATAGCCGACAGAGTCAATGCGTGAGTGTTAATTTAAACATTGATCGAGGGATTTCCACCCATTTAACACGTTATTTTATTATATTTTATTTGTTATTTTATACATTTTATTTTGTGATGTGATGTGAGCGCAAGTGCAACCCAACAGGCCCCAAACGTTCCTGGCAGCAAGTAAAAATGAAATATAAAAATATAGTCCAAACAGGTAAGGTGTAATTGTATTATGAGCCATAGTGCTTGGTCTGTTTGTCCCATGTAAATCAATTGCAGTTAGAGGCTACATTAATTTTCCCTCTGTAAGCACTTATTGAAATTATCTGAGCACATTACAAGTACATATTTGCTTACTCTGTATGCTCAAATGTGGCCCGTTATAGCCAACAGAAAAAAAGCGGAGGCCCGAAAAACAGGTGGGGGTCCTCCACCACCACCACTCACAGAGGCTGAGCAGTTGGCCCTCAGCCAAAACAGTGGGCGCCCTGTGGCTGAAGGCATCTCTGCGGGGACATCCTCTGAGTCAATAACCCCGCAAGACACAAGTGCCTACATAGGGGGTAAATTCAAAATAATACATGATGTGCATACATCCTTTCTTCACAGTCACCTTTGCAGTGCGACTCATTCATTTGATAAACTCTTTACCATAATGGATTATTTTGTAGTGAAGTTATTTTCCTACTGATTTTGCCTTCCCTCAGTCTTGGTTGTCTTTGAGAGCATAATGACAATGAAGTGTAAGGTGATTGGTATGTTTGTTAATTGCCATTTGGTCCCTTGTAAGTTATAAGTGACCTGTATAAACCTCATATTCTATCAGTTGATGGTGATGGTGTACTGCATCTGGTGCAGCCTCCTGTTGAGCCAGACCAACATGCAGTTGTGAGTAATACTCCACAGATTATATGAGTTCACAGTAGAACAGCAATGTTGTCTATTTCTTTACTACAGGAAAATAATGAAGAAACATTGACAGCTGTTACAGAGGAGGAAGCAACAGAGACACTTTATGAGGTTTACATCTTTTAATACTTTGTGTACAGGAAACACAGGCGACCAATAAAGCCAGTTGAACAGAAAATCTGTTTATTCTTCTTTCAACATGTTGAGGTGATGGGTCAAAAGAAATGATTGTGACATATGGTGTCTCTGACTGCTCTTCCATCTTGTATGTCAGTGAGAGGGTCAGGATGTTCATGGTTTGGATCACTGCTGATGTTTGGTTCAGAAGGACAGTGTTCTCCTCTAATTGTGGCAATGTTGTGAAGAATCACACATGCCACAATAATGTCACATGCCCTTTCTGGGGTGACCCTGAGTCTTTGCAGGCACTGGAACCGGGCCTTAAGCATTCCGATAGTCATTTCAACTCTGGCTCTTGTCCTGCAATGAGCCAGGTTATATCGCTGCTGTGGGCCCGGTTCAGGGTCAGGGTAAGGGGTGAGCAAATAGGGTAAACGTGGATACCCCCTATCACCAAGCAAGTAGCCAGTGAACTCTCCTAAGACAGAAGGATACACTTCAGTTCAAATGTCCCTGAAGCAATTGGTCTTTATATATTTTAAAGTATTCTCAACTCACCATGTCCAAATTTGTGCTCAGTGTACATTCACGGAATATTTGTGAGTCATGAACAGAGCCTGGCCACTTGGCTTCCACATTTGTGATAATGTTGGCAGCATCACATATGATCTTCACAGTGCAGAGAACACAAATTAGCATCCATTACTATAATGAAATAATTTGTTAGTTTGAAATGCTACAGGGAACTATGTACCTGTACATTAATGCTGTGGAAAGACTTCATGTTCACATAGTCTCCTTCATTTACTGAAGGAGCAATGATTGGAATGTGAGTACCATCTGTACAGCCAATCACGCCTGGGAACCCTGAAAATAAATGTAAAATTTAAGTAGTAGTTCAAGTATCACCACATCATACATTACGTTTTGGTCACCTTGATACCTGCAATTTTGTGGAAATCCCTCTTTGATAAATCTTGTGGGTCTATGACCGGGGAACACCACAAACGACTACAGGAGACGTTTCAGTGCAACTGTAACATTCCTGACTGCCCGACAGACGGTAGCCTTGGAAACGTGCTCAGCGTCACCAATATTATACAGAAAGCTCCCGTTTGCAAAAACCAAAGTGCAATACAAATAATATGTAATGGACTGAGCGCATGTCCGCGATGTGTCACATGCGTAATATATGGCCTGAGGATGTTCTTCAAATAACTTATAGATTGTGCTGAGAAACGGTAACGTTCGCACAGAAACTCATCAGGAAATGATAAAATGTCCAAACGCGCTCTGATCACTCTCTCCCGGCGGAGAGCTCTGCGGAGAATTTGGGCTTCAACATCTACTGGCTCTTCAAGGAAGGAGCACGCCATGTCTGACACTTCCTACAGTCAGGTTTCCGACAAAGGGGCGGAGACAGTCAGGGTTAGTTGTAGTAAACCTGCTAGGGGAGCAGGTTAGCTTCACGGCGTGTGTCGTCATAGTGACTCACTCAGGCTTCAGCTGAACTCGCTTTGTGAAACCGAAAAACCAGAGTTTTCATTAACTCAGGGTATACTTACTCAGTTTTTCCACTAAACCGGCTTCCTGAAACAGGGCCCAGAGAGTTGACACTCCAATGTTTTACAGAGTATCTGTAGAAAATGTAGAGTCTTTATAGACTCCTACAAAGACTTTTTTTGTTTGTTTTAAATCCATCAGCCATCATCAAGCTGCTAAATACATATTTGGAGTGGCTGTAGAGCAGTAGATAGAGCTAGTAGGTGACCTGCTGCTCTACAGCCACTCCAAATATGTATTTAGCAGCTTGATGATGGCTGATGGATTAAAAAAAAAAAAAAATCAAAAAATCAGAGTGAAGGTTGGTGGTTCAATCTCTGGCAGATTTAATATGCATGCCAAAGTCTCCTTGAGCGAGACACTAACCCCAAGTTGCTCTCTGATGCATCCATCAAAGTGTGAACATTAGATGAAGTTGTGTTTGAGTGCTCAGGTTAGAGAAGCGCTATAAAACAGACCACTGACCTTCCCTCAGTACGCAGTTAGTCAGAGAGCCTGCTGTGTTGTTGTTCTGACTGACGGTCGTGCAGGGGGCAGTGTTTTCTCCAGTAGGCAACATTCTTTTTGAAATATTTAAGTTACATTAACATTGTGTGACGCTTTGCTGAATTGTTATTTCTTTTTGACACCAATTTGTACAGTCAAGCACATAATTATTCATAGCCCTGGCAAATTTTGACTTAAAGTTATTTTAATTCAACCAGCAAAATGTTGTTTTGCTTTTTGACTGGAAATGACACAGGTGTCTCCCAAAAGATAAGACTATGTACAAGAGGCATCATTGTGGAAAAAAATCTCAGCTTTTACTTACATTTGAACAAAAAGTATCAAGTCCAGAATTATTCATACCCTTCTCAATAATCAATAGAAAAGCCTTTATTGGGTATTACTGCAATCAAGCGCTTCCTATAAGTACAGAGCAGTGTTTTGCACGTCTCCACAGCTATTTTTGCTCATGCACCTTTAGCAACGAGCTCCACATCTTTCAGATTGGAGGGTCTTTTTACCATCACCCTGATCTTTCGCTCCCTCCACAGATTCTCAGTTGGATTGAAGTCAGGACTCTGGCTGGGTCACTGCAAAACATTAATGTTGTCTGCTAATCGTTTCTCAAGGCTGTCTGCCTTGAGTAATTGCCACTAGCAGAGCCCAGATTCACCAGAATGGCCTCGGTGGTGATCCTTGGATTCTTTTCACCTCTCTCACTGTCCTCCAGGCCAGCACAGGTGTCACTTTGGGCTTCCGACCTCGTCCTCTGAGATTTTCCAGTGCGGAACATTTTGTACTTTTTAATAATACTTTGCACTAGTGATGGGACGTTCTGTATCGAGGCTTCGAAGCGTGTGTCGAGTAATGGAGGGGGCGTTTCCGCGAAGCGCGTATCGAGGCTTGCTTCATTTATGGGAGGAGCTGAAAATGATGACGTCCGAAGCCTCGCTGCCCGGCTGTACCACGTGACTGGTTCAGGAAGCGGTTTGAACTTTGCCGCAAATAATCATTTCCCATACTGCCAGCATAAATATACACAGTATACTGCCATCACTACAATATAGATGTTTTACACACTCCTTTTGTTGTTGATATTTACAGGCTGTGTGCAAAATGCCACACTCTTCAAATTCATGCCAGCTATTATTTTTACGTCCAGTAGGTGTCCTACTAGAGCAAATGAAGCTTCAAGAAGCTTCGCGTTGGGGTGAACCAATTGGATGAAAAGCTTCAGTGCTTCATGGGGCTTCATCTGCCCATCACTACTTTGCACTGTAGCCGCTGGTCCTTTAAAACATTGAGATATAATGCTTTGTAGCCCTTTCCTGACTTGTGAGCAGCCACAATGTGCAGCCGCAGGTCCTCACTGAGCTCCTTCTCTTAACCATGACTGTCCACAAACCCACTGCAGAGAGCTGATGTTTTTCACCTGGTGAGTCAAAACAGCTGTTCCCAGTTAATCAGGGTAATTAGGATGCTTTAGAACAGCTTGGACTATTTGGACTGGTCCACAACTTTGGATTTTCCCAGAGAAGGACAGTTTAATAATTCTGGACGTGACACTTTTTGCTCAAATGTCAATAAAAGCGGAGAAATGTTTTTTTTTTCCCACAATAATGCCTTTTGTACATCATCTTATTATCTTTTGGGAGACACCTGTGTCATTTCCAGTCAAAGAAGAACTTGCTGGTTAAATAATAGTAACTTTAAGTCAAAATTTGAATAATTATGGGCTTGACTGTGCATCCAAACTTAGCACAGCAAGCTGGAAGAACTTCACAGCATGTCTTTGGTTCAAACTGTAGAAAAAGCCCGTCTGTGATTGTCCAGCTCAGCTGAAACAAACAACCCTACATTTCTTTATTTCTACTCGTAATGCTTTTCTATGCTAGACTGTCACTGACTGTAAACACTGCAGAACAGCCTGAAGGATCTGGATGGATACAAATCTTTTTCTGTTATAGATAATATTTAGTATTTGTTGATGTAAACTGAACACACTGCAGTCACTGAATGAACACACAGCACTCAGCCAGAACACTTTAAATTAATTTAATCAGAATTATTTACAGAAAATGAGCCTTTCAACAAACCAATTAAAAGAAACACGTGAAATGTTTTCAGATTTCACCTTTTGTTTAGTACACATTTTGTGTGTATTCATTACAAAGCTGGCTATAATATGACACAAGCCCCTCAAACTACAATCCCCTACATAAATGAAAGCGTCTAACTGAAATGAACAATGGCAGAGGACGTCTCACAGACCAGAGTCAAGGATCCACACGGAGCTGGTGGCCTGATGCCGCTCCTCCTCCTCCTCCTCCTCCTGGGTTCGCACGTACAAAGCAAAAAATGCCCTCAGAGATAAAACCAAACACTTTGAACCGATGGAGCAGAAATCCAAAATTTATACCAACAATTTCTGAACCAATATTACTTTCCTTTTTATAAAACTGTAAGGTTTTACACTACATAAAATATTTGTATTTTACAACAATAGAACTTTAGACAGTAAAATAGGTTTTGATTGAGGTAATTACATTACATCATGGTGCTTATACAAAGTAAAAAAAAAAATAGATTCTCATTTGTTTTTCCCAAAATACAACCAAGAGCCCAACACACACACTTCTGTCTCTTTCTGCCTCCGCGGTCAGACCAAATACTTCGGGTCACGTTGCACCTCTCTTTGCACACAGCAATCAGCTTGCACTGCCTCGCTTTTCCAGAAAAGGTTCAACTTTGGAATTTGTCACACATGCAGGTAGTTTATTCTCTTTTATCCTGACAGTTGCTGTATGTTCTCCCTTCTTACGTTAGAGCTACTTTTAGAAAAACAGTAAAACCACAAGACAAGTTCTCCAAGCTTATTACAGGAAACTGATGTGAGAACTCGCCGTGTCCTACAGCTGTCACACAATGTGCATTTACAGGCTGGACACTCTAAAGGTTTATCACCGATTCGCTCCAGGTGCTTTCAGTAACTCTGATTTTTTTGCCATATTTTGGACACGCTGGGGAAACAGAGGGGCTAAATAAAGCTGATGCAGGAAAGTGCTTTGCACTGACAAGCTAAAGGTTGGCTATGAAGTCAAAGCACAAAAGCAGCAGGGTTAGCTGAACACAAAGAGAGTCAGTGAGGTTTGCAGACTTTAGAATAAAACTGTGTGAGTCTTTGTTGGACTGATGATCAGCCTGTTTTGTAGTAAACTGGCATAAACATGTTGTTGTATAAAGCTCAGGTAGAATAAAACAGCATCAGCCCATTTACCTTTTACATGGCTGAAAGATTCCTTAAAATCAAACAAGGAAAACATTTTACACGCTGCAACATGAGCTGGTTAAGCATGAGGGGAAGTTAACTTGGTCAGTTGAGGAAGGGTTGGGGTTAACTAGCAGAGACCCTGTTTGCCTCTAAAAGCATCTCAAATAAGATACAGCGCAGCTAAAGTCTCTCTGTAGAGGTGAAGGTGATCCAAGGCAGAATCTGGACATGAATCGACGCGCGTTAAAAATTACGATCGTAATAGAAATCTGCAGAATGGGCTCAAACTCCAGTTTTGAAGACATCAGACAATCGACTTTAGAGCGTAAAGAAACAAAAAGGAGAACATGACCTGTGCAGGGTTTGTGGGTCTGTGTGACGTGGAAGAAAACAGAGTCAGTTTTTCCATGAATCCATAATTTCATCGATGATGGATGAGCACTGTAGTGAGAATCCTGATAACAGTAACATTTATATGTTTGTGATTGTTAAATGTAACTGTTTGTAGGAAAGAACTTATAGGACTATGTTGCTAAAGGTATCGTCGCGAGGCGTCATCTACTTCTGTTTCCTGCATCACTCTCAAAGACTTCCACCAGTTTCCCCTCCCACAATGCAACACTGCCAGGCTGAGATCTGCATCCACTGCTGAGTGAAGGGACTGGTTTCAAACCCCACAGCTGGCACTGCCAAAGTAACACAACGTGATTGACGTGTTACGTTTTCCTGGCAACAAGAATGACAGCGCTCCAGAATCGATGCGTCACCGCGGTTGGATGATTGGAATAAAGTGGAGGAGTCACTGCGATTGTAACAAACTACCATTCATCACAGTTTGTGTTAACTGTGATAAAGACGTCATATCAAATAGTTAGAATCAGTTGGTGCGAATAAGAAAAACATTGCCAACATTCCCACACGTCCGAGTTGGACGCTGACAGCACCTGAACATGCTGCTTGGACAGTTTTCATACGTATCCCAGGTAGAAATTTTAAACCCGCCTGAAACAACGAAAAACGATCATGATGAGCAAAGTAACCTTTTTTTAATCATTCGATGTAATTGGAATGAGTTGATCTTTGTTGGAGAAAAGAAACCAAAACAAAAAATTACAAAGCGGTGAAACAGGCGTCCAAAGGGACAGGTGATCACTCACCCTGCTCTCGAGTTGGTGACCAGCATGTTAGCACGCTGAGACCACGATGGGCCAGGACTGTACTCTGTGTGTTTAGTGAAAACGTTTAAATACAGGAAGTGATCCGGATCAGAGGCCAGCACCACGTGACTTTCCTTTACTCTCTCGAGCACCTGAAATATATCCTGTATCATGCTAATTAATTCCAACCAAAGTCATTGGCTAGAACTGCATTTGCTTTCAGTGATGTAGCATATAGCAGTGGCAAACATACGTGGCTCCAGATTTCCTCCTTAGCTATTAAAAAACCCCAAATGCCCCAAAACGAGACGCAATATTTACATGTAGCTGGAAATTAAACCGCCGTCCACTTGAGAACTCTAGGTCTGCTGCGCTTCGGATCACCGTACGCCTTCAGGATAGAGAACTCAGCAGCAGGAAGTGTAAAAAGTGTTGTTGTTTGTTGGTACAGGACACAAACAGCTGTGACGCAGGCAGGAGCCAGCTGACAGACAGCAGCTTTCTCACGTCTCTCTGTCAAATGCACATCAGTTTATTTCTGACGCTAAACCCGAATCGAACAAACAGGAAGTCTCCTGATTTTGCTCAACCGACCTTGACTCGTGACAGCTTAGTCTTTGGCTACGCCTGCAACCTGCAACCTGTCTTTACCTTGATTCATTTATTTTGCCCTGCATGCTGACCTCTGTAAACTGGGTGTGGCTGGAGCTCATTAAACTCTCCTAAGAAGACCTGAGGTAAAATTTCTTGTGTAATCACGACAGGATAAAACTGAACTTCAGCTCTGCTCATCTGCCTGAATGAACACAACGGTGTGTGTCCTGTGTGTGTGTGTGTGTGTGTGTTCGAGCCCTTGGACTGAAAGCTGCTCAGTGTGTTTAAGGCTTCACTGTCTGAAAAGTGTGTTTAGAAAAGTCTCGAGACAAGGCTGTACTGTGACATATTGCATAAATCACCATCACGTGGTATTAGAGTTAGACAACACTAGCGCCATCAAATCTAAAACCTATTCGCAATTTTCTGTTGTTCAACAGTTAGGGCTGCACAAAACTAATTAATTCCCTGCATGTGCAAGACACAAATCAAACTGAAGAAGGTGTAAGTGCAAGTTAGCAAGTATTTCTGATATCTGTGCATGCGCGAGTGCGTCACCAGCCCTCAGAGAGGAGTCTGTAGGTGTGTGTATTGCTGTGATGGGGTGGAGGTGGAGGAGGAGGTGGTGTTGGGGGTGGGGCTGTTAGCCAGATGAGAGGAAGTGGACGAGTCGGACAGCTGCAGCTGCTCCAGCTTCTTCAAGTATTCGTCTCTGAGGGCCAGCAGCTCCTTGTAGCGCTGCTCCACTGGACTCTGCTGCTGGAACACACACACACAGACACACATGCACAGACACACACAGACACACGCACAAACGCACGCACACGCATGCAAAGTCACAGGTTGTACACGGGAAACTCCATATTGCAGCATTTGCTTTGAATATTGATTCTCAGAACAGGAGAGTTTCTATAAAGTCAGTTACAGAGTTACTATAATGAACCACATTTATAAAAGAATCATTCGTCAGGTCTTTCTGTCTGTAAATGTAAACGATGCCTTCTGATGATGCTGTAAACAGAAGTGGTCCTAGCACTGAACCCTGTGGAACTCCATAATTAACCTCAGTGTGTGAAGGAGACTGCGCTGAGGTCTAACACAGAGAGGAGTCCACCGTCAGAGGCCATAAGACAATCATTTGTAACTAAAGCTGTTTCTGTGCTGCGATCTCAGAGTTCTGAGATTGAGATATCCAGATACCCATTATCTGGTAAGTGAATCCAGATAACAGATATACGGCATTTGGAGTCCTGTGCAGCCGGCCACATGTTTATCCAGGCAAGCTTACAGCATATTATAGGAAACACAAGAGCAGTCCTACCTGCTGTCGTATGCGTGGGTTCCAGCGGATGTAGTACGCTACCCAGAGCTCTAGGTGGCGCATGCTGGCAACAGGGTAGAGAACCCTGCCAGATTCTGGGGTGTAGAAGGGGTTTAAATACATATCCACCTTGCTGTTGACCAGAGACCACAGAGACACCGTCTTGGACCTCACCTCCTGCACCACAGAAGAGTTTCAGTGTCAAACACTTGTAGCTGAAGCACACGACATAAGTATGTGGACAGTGACACAGTTTTGATCATTTTGTCTGTGTAATTTTAACTTTCTTAGTGATTTTGTTTTGTAACACTGTATTTATTTTGTTGCATTGATTTCCATGCTTTGTAGTACACTAACTTCCGAACTTTGAGTATAAATAAAGTATTTCTTATCACATTAACTGCAGACATTTTTATACATAGTTCCTTGATTTCAACTTAACCTTCCAGACAGACAGCAAAACCTCGAGCAGTTGCCAAATCCATGACCTGGACATGGACTACTACTAAATGAACAGCACTGTATATCCTGGAAGACCATGGATGACAGTGAAAGACTCTCTATTTCAGAAAACCTCATTCACAACATCTAGCCAGGTCAAGAACACTTCTGAGCTGACACGTGTATCACTGACAGTGTCTACAGTTAAGAGGCACCTTTATAAATATAAACACAGTACAATGTAACAAGAAGACCGGATTAGGCCAGAAAACAACTAAAAGAGTCAGTTGTGGGAAAACATCTTTGAATGAAATGAAACCAAAATAAAGTTGCAGTAGGACGAATGAAAGAGGAAAACAGGAAAAGGAAAGTTCTTGATTTTAAATGCAAACACGGTGATGGCTGGGAAGGTACGGCTGCCAGGAGAACCAAGTCACTGCTGTTAACGGCTGACATGGATGCTGACAGAAGCAACGATGGATTCAGCCAAATACTGAAAACCTGATTGGTGATGCTTCACCATGGAAACGGATAATGAGCCAAAGCATTCTTCAAAGGACACCCGAGAGTTTCACAAGGCAAAGAAATTCTGTATTTTACAACAGCCAAGTCAGTCACCTGACCCGAACACAACGAAACATGTGATTCAGCTGCTGAAGACAAAACTGACGGCAGCATCCAGTCAGCCTTAAAGTCTGAGAGGCAGTAAAAACTCTCATTGGGCCAAACTCTGTATTACGAGGACACAATTTTCGCATTTTTGCATGCATGTACATGTTATATGTGCAGGTGTTCTTACATGCTGGTCTCGTACGCTCTCGCAGTTGTACAGGAAGGTCCCGAAGCGACAGCTGTAGAGGTGATCCAGGATCGTCAGCAGGAGATGCTCGTTAAACTCGAAGGCCGTAGGGAACTAAGAGGTGAGAGTGACAATTCAAAGACTGAGTCAGTAATCTGAGACTGTGTCATCCTAACGTTAGTGAACATACAAACATTTAGCAGTGTTCCTGTCTTTTTGTTGGGATGTTTCCTTCTCTCTTTTGTCAAATGCATGAAGTCAAACAGCATTTTGAGTATTTTTGAGCCTAACCAGAGCAGCTCAGAGTGGGGGAGTGTGTGCCTGAACCAGCAGGCGGCTGGTTGGTCTGTGCAGCTGGACTGAGAAGAGTTCATAGTGTGCTGAAATAAAGTGAAATCCAGAGCGTAGCAGCCAAACAGCCGAGGAGGTGAACGTGGGGTTTCACAGTGCTGTTTACCACCTTTGTTGGTTTGATCTATACAGACAGCCCCACTGAGACGTGAGAGGCAGACAAACATTCAACTTACAACAGGAACGAGCTCTCAGTGACGATCGATGATGATTTTAGCTCAACGAAGCCAAAATTCAGTTTGAATCTTCTTCTTCTGTAACGAGCTGTTATGTTGTTTGTTGCACTCTTTGTTTATTCTCATTCATATTTGAACTATACAACAATCTGTAATGAAATTCATCCGAAATATTTGTTTTGTCCAAACGTCTTCAAGAAATGCTGCCTCTGCTGCTGATGCAGACGAGCCTCCTGGGGCTCCGGTTTCAAACTAAGCATGAACAGAGTTAACTGACACGCTCTGTTCTCAAGTTATCGGCCCTTCACGAGGTGTCGGGTTCAGGGGTCTGCTCTATATTATTGGAAATATGGTGCCGCTAGCTTCATCGGGTGACAGCTCCAGCTCCAGTATGCAGACTGGGAGTTGGAAATGAGTGGCGTGCCCACGTGAGGAAGGGAATGCATGCCGGCCTAAATGGACGCATTAAAGTATTTGTGGGTCTTGTTCATTAGTGACAAAAGTAGATGAGTGATAGAAGTAGGGAGTGGTAGCTTAACAAAGTGTCTGCTGGGTCTGCAGTAATGGTGATACTCGATACCAGTCTGCAGTGGTGGAAAGAGAAGAGGTCCGTTTAGTGAATTTACTGTCCCGTTCTTGTCAGTGGCCACAGACGATGGGTAGGGGCTGAGATGAGAAGGAGAATGATGAATGAGGCAGATAAGAGTGCCTGAAATGCCCGTCGGAGGGCATCTGGGATCTCTCTCAGCGATATGTTTAGGAGCTCAGTCGGGCTCTGGGTAGAGCCAGGATTCTAAATAAAAAGGCAGAAGATTAGACCGACTCCTGGCTCCTCCTAACTGAGCTATTTTTGGCACGTCCAACTGGGAGGAGGCCCCAAGTTAAACCCTGGTCACACTTGATTATTGACTAGCTTGGGAAGACCTGTTATGCCAAAAGAAGAGCTGGAAGAGGAAGCTGTGGCATCTCTGTTCAAGCCCTTCTGCTCTTCCATGAGTACCTACCTACTTTAGTCTATGTTGATTCAGGAGCCTGCTCCTGTGTTGACAAGCTCAGTGTTGCTACGACTGTCACAGGAAACCAGCCACGGAGGGTGTCAGGTCGAGGGGTTATCTACAAACTGCTAGCTGCTGTTTAACTACAAAGTGCAACATTGTTACGTTCCTACATTCACGCAGTGAGACGACTGAAGCGCTGCACGTACCTGTTTAGTCATCTGCCACACACAGTCGATGAACTGAACAAAGATGGGTGATCGGTCCTGATCGGCATGGTTTTTGTCACCATGTCCTATCCTCTGAACACACACACACACACACACAGATCAGAAACGTTTCCTCCTGATCAGTCGTCTTAACTCATGCGATTGAATATATTTCAGAAACTAGATGGTGAAAAACTTACTGAGGCAAATTTGTGGCCGAAGCTGATCCATTCCTTTTCAATCAAAACCTAAAAAAGACACAGATGAAAAAATCACAACTTTTAAATATCAAACAGACATCGTGATGAAATTAAAGCCCGATGTGCTCCTCATATCCTCTGTGAATGTCTAAGCTCATGTTCACGAGGGTGAAACGACTGACCTGGAATCCTCTGAGAGTGCGATAGTGGCTGTCCAGCATCAGCATAGCCAGAGAGGTGAGCTGTGCAGTTCGGTCCCAGCCGTCACTACAGTGAACTACTACTGAGTTCCCACTGGACACTTTGTCTGCAACTTGGATGGCTCCTGACAACACCAGCTGAGTACAAGGATTGGCACAATGCAATAAAAATACATTATTATAACAAGGTAATGTAAATGGACTGAGCGCAGTTATCAAATGCATGTAGAAACCTCTCACCTTGACATGTTCCAACCAGTGTGTAGACTCTAGGCTGGACAGCCAGTGGGATTCCTCCACGCTGGGGTAGACGATATCTTTGAGTTTCTTCTGGGATTCCCTCATGACGTGGATATTCTGGATGTCCAAGAAGATGAGCTCTGCATTTTGGTACTCATCACCCTCGTAGCCTCCTCCGGTGGCCTGAGGAGGAGGCACAAACAGTGGGCATGCATCTCTACACAGATGTGTATAATAGTATCAGTGGAATTAACTGGGTAAGAGACTTTTGTTAATGTTTGGGACTAATGATGACAGAGCTCTAACTCTTTTAGGGATCATCCTCCAACATAATAAATATTTATTATCCCAATAACCTGTCGCTGGTTATATTAGACTCATTAGCATTGTGTCGCAGCAGGTTCAGGTAGACAAAGGTTAAGAGAGAGTGTGATGGAAGTATCCACAAAAATGGCGTTTTATAGGACATTTGGTTGTTTTTTAAATGTTTTATTGCTGTTTCATTTTGGCTGAGTGTTTTTTTTTGCCCCACTCACAGATCACCCAGCATCATACATACAGTGGCTCATCCCTCTTCTAATACCTGAGCAGGTGGGACTCACAGATATGAGCAGAGCGGAGCTGGTGTGCCATAACAGCATAAAAGTGAGCGTGTCAGCAGTGCAGTGTAGGCCTTCGCTACAACCTCCCCTGTGCAGATCCAGCTGCAGGTTCAAGAGTATTTGAGAGTTTTCTGACTGAATGGCTTACTGGTGTTGGGGCCCTTGGACCTAGGACGCTGGGAGGCAGACACACCCAGGACCAGAAGGACTAGAGGTGAGGTGGTGGTCCTCCTCCCTGCAGCTCTGCACTGGCCCAGGTCTCCTGGGTCTTTCTGTCCACCTGTGGCAGTCTGTTGTTGCAGACCTCTGTTTAATCTTGTAACTGATGTTTGTTTTGTGAGTCTTTTGTTACAGATGCAGCAGATGGAGATTTCTCCACTTTTATCCCCCCAGCCCACCTTTCTCTATTCCTCCACCACTGCTCCACCTTCACAGCGTCTGCTCCAGCATCCACAATAACGGGAATAATAACAGTCTACAGTGCTCAAAGCAAGTATCTTTGGCACAGCAAAGCATCCGCCCATCATCACCATCAGACCCTGATTCTGTTGCTAAAACTGTCAGAAAGAACAAGTTAGAAAATCCTACATGTGACTGTGATGACTCAACGAGGAAAACCTGAGTGTCTGCGCCTGCAGCCAGGCTAACGACACCATTAGTAGTTGTCTGTTTTATGTTGTGGTTTGAATCTTATTTGTACTGTGTCACTTTTTAAATATATCACCTTACTGCCATAGACAACCAGTCAAACTGTATGACACACATCTAATGGTTCCTCTTTATTTTCATGAGTGTTTACACTGTAGATTCTCACTGAAGGCATCAGAACTATGAATGAACACATGACATTATGTAGTAAACAACTCAGGACATGTTTGATATTTCAGATTCTTCCAAACAGCCTTTGCTTTGAGTCCTGCTTTGCTCCCTCTTGGCGTTCTCTCCATGAGCTTCATGAGGTCGTCTCCTGAAATGGTTTCCAACAGTCTTGAAGGAGTTCCCAGAGATGCTGAGCACTTGTTGGTCCTTTGCCTTCACTCTGAGCTCCATCTCATCCCAAACCATCCACACTGGGTTTAGGTCAGGTGACTGTGGAGGCCAGGACCCATCAGACCAAAGCACAGATGTCCTCTGGTCTAATGTCCACTCCTTGTGTTTCTCAGCAGCTGTTTGACCATAAAGGCCTGATTCACACAGTCTCCTCTGAACATGTAGAGATGTGTCTGCTACTGGAGCTCTGTGTGCATCTATCTGGGCTCTGATCTGAGCTGCTGTTAACTTGTGATTTCTGAGGCTGGTGACTCGGATGAATGTATCCTCAGCAGCAGAGGGGACTCCTGCTCTTCCTTTCCTGGGGCGTCCTCATGTGAGACAGTTTCATCGTGGTCTTGATGGTTTTTGTGACTGCACTTGGGGACACATTCAAAGCACAACACACCTGATGGTCCCAACCTCATTAAGAAGGCAAGAAATTCAACAAATGAGCCCTGACAGGCTCACCTGTGAGGGGAAACACGTCAGGTGACGACAGCATGAAGCTCACTGAGAGAAGGCCGAGGGTTTGCAGCGCTGCCAACAAAGCAAAGGGTGGAACCTAAATTATAAGACATGTTTATCACTTTTGTCTTTACTACATAATCCCATATATCTTGCTCCATATAGGTGATGTCTTCAGTTTGTATCTACAATGTAGAAAGTAGTAAAAAATAAAGAAAAACCATTAAATGAGAAGGTGTGTCCAAACCTTTGACTGGCAGTGTATATATGGTGTATACAGGTGAAGTGCTATGAATAGTTTTTGGATGTACCGTCTTAAATTTGATTAAATTAGTAGTTCACAGATAAATGTTGCAAATGATGCCCGTGGATTGTGCTGTTTCCTTTTTCTTCTGACCTTGTTGGCAACTGCGTTGACATTGGGACGAGCGTCGTATATGGTGAGCTTGGTGGTATCATTTGCCTCCCTAATCAGCTCCAGGTAGCGTTCATCGTCCTTGTTCCTTTTACCAGACATGCCAACGAGAGGCTGACTGCAGCGGACGATCACTGCTTGGTTCTCTCTGTGGATCCATGACAGGACCTAAGACAGAACAACAGTAACAAGGATTTACACAACACTTTATGATACAGCGTCAATGTTAAGAACATCTGTCTGTGAAGGTTCTCAGTCATCCAGGTCATTGAAGTCTAAGGAGCTTGGGAAGAAAAGCATCTGGACTGTCTGCCATCTATAATCCAGTTCTGAGACGCCTTAACGTCCACTCACATCCTGGGCCCTTTGACCTCAATAAGTCACATGATAGGGTGGGGCCAGGTTTCACGATGGGTTCACCTGAAACCTTGGCTGATTGTGACCTACACCTTGGCTCGTTTGATTAGGCAGAGGATCAATAGGGGGTCCATGACCCTCTTGGGGACACACCCACAGGGCTTAAAATCTGGGACTCTCCACCATTTGACCCTAGAACTGAAGAAGCTTCTCAGATGAAACGTCTTCAAGAAACTTCAAGAAATCCAGAAGCTTTTCTCCTCAAACATCTGAATATCCACAAACTATGTCAACAAGTCAAACCCATTATGTTCAGTCTGAAACAATCCCTTTGTTTTTTCAAGCTCTAGTTGTGTTTAGAATCTGCAGCATGTCACAAAATACCCGTCTGGACTTCCACTGCACATCTGAATGTTTTTAGCCTGCAAGCTTCCAGTACAAAAACACACAAACAGGTCGTTTCTGTATTGGCTGTCTTGGGTTCTGCTTCCTGCATCAAACTGTAACTGAACCAAATCTGGAGCTAACGTGTGGAAACCAGGGGAAACCTTTAAATGTTATTGGATGGTCAGTCAATGGAAGTTCTCAAACAGGTCAGTAATGACAACCAAGAAAATGCAGAAATTACAGTACAGCGGTCCCTCGTTTATCGCCGGAGTTACGTTCTAAAAACAACCCGCGATAGGTGAAATCTGCAAAGTAGTGAACTTTATTTTTTTACAATTATTATAAATGTTTTAGGCTGTAAAACCCCATTTTACACACTTTATAGACTTTTCTCAGACAGGCATGAACATTTGTTTAAACACTCTCACAGTTCAAACCTTGGTAGAAACATAAGTCCAGTATTAAAGAATGAAACTAAAGATCAAACCCTGTTTTCAGGTCCAGAACAAGTGAATAGAGCAGCTGCCAGAGAACTCAACATTAATGAATCATTAATGAATCACTGGTACGGAAGCAGAGGAAGCAAGACGAATGAGTTGAGTAAAGTTTGACTGTTTTGTTTCGCTTAATGCGCCTTACAATCCGGGAAATACAGTAAGCATGTCCAGAAGTCCAACTTTCTGTGTGATGGTTAGCATCGTTCTCTGCCTTCTGGATGCTACATGATGGTCTACAGCCAATCAGGATGCAGAACACAATACGCAGTAAAAAAAAAAAAAAGTATGCAAAACTGCCCCAAAAAAATCTGCAAAAAGTGAACCGTGTTATAGCCAGGGCCCACTGAATATAGTCAGGCCCATCAGCTAACACGCATCACTTAAGCAATGCTGTGGTGGGTATCTATAGCTGCCAGTGTAATCTGGCCACCAGTGATTACTGATAATGTGATTGCTAACAAGAGTAGCAGGATGAATTCTGGGATGTACACAGCTATACTTTCTGCTCAGATTGAGCCAAATGCTGCAAAAATGATAGGAAAGTACTTCACGGTGCAAATTTATAATGAGTAAAAGCAGACTGCTAAAGCCAGAGAAGTGGGTTATTCTTCAGTGACATGATACGCCCCTTAATCTCAACCCAGTAGAGCAGCAGCTGCAGGAGGCTACAGTAACAGCCAAGCTGGAAACACAGCATCAGGGTCTGCAAAGTATTTTCATTCAAGTATTAAACAACAATAGTGATGTGCAGAGCTTTGGTAATAGACGGGGTGACAGATGAGGCGGGAGGTTCCACACACTGTGATATTTACAGACCACAGTGTGACTTGTAGTGGGAGCAGGGAGGTGTGACAGTGAAGCTGCAAGAAAAAGAGGTAGTGAAGGTCGACAAGTTTAAATACCAGAGGTCAACCATCAATGAACTGTGCAGGCAAATTCAATTTACTGTATATAGCACCAACTACAGCAGCTGTTGTTGGGATTTTCTTGCACCTCAAGGTCAAAAAAGCTTTTAGCATGCAGTCAGAGTGAAGTGAAAGATGGCAGCGTAACTGAAAGTGAAGATTTAAGATGGTAGTGAGACCTGCTGTGACATAAAAGAGAAAAAAGACAGGAGGACAAGCTGGAGTTACAGATGCCTTTGGAGTGACCACAATGGACAGGATTAGGAATGAGTATATTAGAAGGACAGCTCAGGTTGAGGTTCGGTGGTCTGGAAACAAAGTTCAAGAGGGAAGATTAAGAAGCTTCAGACACTGCAGAAAAGAAGTAAAACAGAAGGACCACAAAAAAGGAGGACGTGGACAGGACAGACTGTGAAAGCATAGGAATAACTAATAATTAAATGCAGAGTGAGGGAAAAAGAAACACTGCATGCATCATGGGAGTCCCCGGCAGCCTACACCTACTGCAGCATAACTAAGGGAGGATTCAGGGTCACCTGGTCCAGCCCTAACTATATGCTTTAGCAAAAAGGAAAGTTTGAAGCCTAATCTTAAAAGTAGAGATAGTGTCTGTCTCCTGATTCCAAACTGGAAGCTGGTTCCACAGAAGAGGGGCCTGAAAACTGAAGGCTCTGCCTCCCATTCTACTTTTAAATACTCTAGGAACAACAAGTAGGCCTGCAGAGCGAGAGCGAAGTGCTCTAATAGGGTGATATGGTACTACAAGGTCATTAAGATAAGATGGGGCCTGATTATTTAAGACCTTGTATGTGAGGAGCAGGATTTTGAATTCTGGATTTAACAGGAAGCCAAAACAGGAGAAACACACATGAATACATGTCTTCTGCCTGCTTCATTATTACTGAATGTCAGATAGCAGCCCTGTCACGGTGAAGAACCAAGTCCAGTTTGACTCCTAACACTAGCTTTGGTAATTTTACACACCAACTGACAATGCAAATGTTTTTAAAATGCAAACTTAAACTAATCAGCTCATCCTGTTCAGAAACACAGTACAAGTGTGTAACAGTATCTACAGCACCATGAGGAAGTACAGCACGGTATGCGTTCAAAGATCTGGTCTAACTCAAAAAGTCTTTCCTATATTTGACAGCTTAGTCTTGCCCTCACCGGTATTCGTCCTCTTGACCGGAAGGCAGCCACTTTTCGGAGGTCCTCCTCTTTACTCTTGTAGGGTACGGCCAGCACAGTGGGGTAGGTGTCACACAGATCATAGCTCTTATTGATGAATGATATACGCCACTTGTTGTTGGGTAAACCCTGGAAGAGATAATGATCATTACTGACTCATTTCTTTGAAACTCAAACTCAGCTCTGACTGTTCAGAAGCATCAGACCTCACAGGTCATCAGGTTTTTAACATCAAGGCTTCTGAGGGTGCGTTCGCTTACTGTGGTTCAATAAAAACAGATTATCAGCCCTTATAGAAAACACTGCCATTCCTATTGTCCTGAGCATTTGTCCTGGGACCCCGATACTGCGCACGTTGTCTTTCTTACCTGCCGTCTGAACTCCTCTACAGGTTTGTAGATGGTCCAGCCAGTCTCAGCATACTTCTCTTGACTCAAATACGCAAAAAGAGGCTGCACAGAAGCAAAAGAGAGAAACGTGTCAGACGTTACTGTATACAGCGGTCTTATAGAAACAGCAGCACATCCATTAGAACAGCCATTGTAACAGTAAAGCACACGAGCAGGGAGCGTTTTTCAATATTAAGCCCCATCGATGTTATAATACTCTTGGTTTGGACAGCAGGCAGTTAGCAGAACGAATGAAGGGGCTTTATTGGTCTAGTTTTTACCAGAAACATGAAAGGTCAGTTCAAAGTTGAATGAAAATTCTGCTTTCTTTTTCACGTTCAAGCTTTAATATCCGTGAAAATAAATATTACAGGCTTGTATAAAAGCTATCAGACGCCTAACAAACTGTGGTTTCCAACGGCCTCCAAATCAGCTCAGACCTAAAGCCGTCATCACTGTAAGTGTTTGTGCCAAAGAAGAACCTGCTGTAGTTTTACTAGATGATGCAATTTGAAAATAGAGCCTCAGAAATGCTGGAACAGCATTTTTAAAAACAGCACCAAATCACAACAACAGTCACCTCAAGGTGCTTTATACTGTAAGGTAGACCAACAATCACATGACCCCCTATGAGCAAGACTTTGGTGACAGTGGGAAGGAAAAACTCCCTTTTAACAGGCTCAGGGAGGGGCGGGGCCATCTGCTGTGATTGGTTGGGGTGAGCAGAAGCCATATGCTCTATTTAAACCCCATAATGTTTATTAGGCTCTGTCAAAATAAGGTGTTCTTCTTTTTCCACACACCAAGTAAATGGTAAATGGTAAATGGCCTGTATTTATATAGCGCCTTACTAGTCCCTAAGGACCCCAAAGCGCTTTACATATCCAGTCATCCACCCATTCACACACACATTCACACACTGGTGATGGCAAGCTACATTGTAGCCACAGCCACCCTGGGGCGCACTGACAGAGGCGAGGCTGCCGGACACTGGCGCCACCGGGCCCTCTGACCACCACCAGTAGGCAACGGGTGAAGTGTCTTGCCCAAGGACACAACGACCGAGACTGTCCAAGCCAGGGCTCAAACCGGCAACCTTCCGATTACAAGACGAACTCCCAACTCTTGAGCCACGATCACCCCAAGTAAAGCAGCAGCAGACGTTAGAAGGTTTCTTACCAGACCGTGTGACAGAGGAAAGGCGTATCTGAAGAGAACCTCAAAAATATCTCTTCTGCTGTGGCCTTCCTGCTTCAGGGCAAACCTCAAATTCCTCATGTCCTGGTGACAGAACAGATCAAACACTTCACGATCAACACACAAGATGTAAGACCTGCAAAACAGACACAACTAAAAGAAAGTGTTGCTGTGACACTTTAAGCTACCAGCACATGTATGCGATGGCAGAGATGAGACTTTGTGTTCTTTTTAAATAAAAATCCAGTAACTGTAAAAAAGCAAATGACTTCTGAACATTAAACACACACCTTGCAAGTAATATCCAGGCCGTAGGAGTTTTCTCCCCTGCTTGACGCCCCACCCATCTTCTCCACTCGACTGATGGCACCCAATGGAACGTCCAGCGTCACCGTCACATCCTGCAACACAAAGTATGACAAATATAGTCATGTGACCTCAGCAACAGGAAGCTGTTCTGTTACGCGAGGTCCAGCGTGTATTAAAAACAATGCACGACACACACACAGCTCTTATTTAAGAGCATGCAGTGGAATAAACTTTATGCCAAACTTTAGGACCCTCCCAGCTCGTCCCTGTGACCTGACAGGCAGAGAAACACTGGCACCCACTCAAACTGATGAACATTTTAGGATCCTGAAAACAAGCTCCAGGTACGAGCCTTTAGCAGAGGTAAAAAAATGCTCCGCCTCAGGTATGACCACGGAAATGCAAATGTAACGATCCCACTTGTCCCGTACACGTCACCCACTCGGCTGATTTATTGTATCAAGTACTTTGATCTTATTCATGCCTCGCAGTTTTTCCCAGTCTTACCATAAAAGACAAAACGACAGCAGAAACGTTAATGAAAATTTGAGTGATCGTGTCACCAAACATGATACCTGCCCTGACGGCCTGCTCTGCTAAATTAATGGTGAATAATGCATGCTGTGCCAACAGCTCATTTATTATAAATGACTTGTTCTGTAAAACTGGACTTTATAATAATCTGAGATGTGACGGCGTGAGCAGGAAGTCATACATCGTTTAACGGTGTCGTAGGAATTGTTCAGTTTTCTGTCCACCACAGAACGGTTCCTGGTACTAATGCTGTGAGTTTCATATGATCTCTGTAAGCTTCAAGACTTTATCTTCTCCAAGGATAAAGTAGTTTTTCACAGTGTTGATTACTAACATTCATGCTGATGATTAGCAGACAGTGTTGCTGCCTCACCACCTCCCCCTGCCACACTCTCACCCATCTACTCTAAGGACACTCTCAGATCATGGGCCAGTCTTCACACTGATCTTCAACATTGGCTCCTTCCTGTTTCAAACATTCAACAATCACTCCAGTAACCAAGAAGCCCTCTGTGATACCTGCAGGACACCACCTGTAGGCTGTGTGCAGACAGGTCGGGGACAATGCTGTCGACACAGAACTGCGCTTCATCCCTAAAGTACTCCGCTCCCTGTTTCAGCTTCATCTGTTATATCCTCACAAACTTTTGACGGACAGAAAGTTGAAGTATGGGGAGAATCACATCTAAATCACTAGCACCCCTCAGTCCTCGACCGTGTGCCCTTCTACACAAATAACTTCATTGTTAAAACGTAAAGTTTTCAGACGACATAACGGTCACTGGACTCACCGAGGACAGTGATGAGTCCAGTGACTCTTATTGTAAAGCTATTAACTCTCTCTCATCTTTAATATCACTCAGTTTCAATTTGGTGTTTTACTCAACAGCTGGGAGAGGCTCCAGCGTGACGCTAAACTGGCTCAGCAGGAGAAACTCACAATGATAACTGGAAAATAAACACATTTACTGTAAACACACAATTACAAAATTAGCAACGGATACTCGTGTTATAAATATAGACTCAATAACAACACACAATAATGCCTATATTTAACTGGTAACATGTCACACATTCAAATTCACCATGTAAAACTAGCAAAACGACTCACAGCGTCCACAAAAAGCATCCACACTGGTCCCAAAATCAAAACTCGTATCACGGATCACGGTTTAAGTCACGGATCAATTTTCAGATCAGCAAAAAATGAAAAAAGACAATAAAAATTTAATTTGCCATTTTTTTTATTTAAGTATTTTTGCCCATTAAATAACATTCAACTCAAGACTCATTCCAAGCATTTATATAAAAACAAATTAAGGTGCGACGTCGGGCGTATCTCACGTATCTCACGCTGTGATGTAACGAGCGGTCGCGGTCACATGGCTTCCCGTTGCCCTGGAGGTCCGCCCTCCTGTAGTCAGGGCTACAGAAGCACCCGGGACAGCTCAGCCATAACTTTAGACTTTGCTGCTCATACATGCTTGGACGATATTGTCACTGAAGTGTGCGCACGCCAGGATATCCAATCGTGGCCTCACGTCTGCATCTTTAGCCCGGTCAGACTGGGCAGCAAAGGCTGCTTAAACGCCGCAGATATCAGCGGTTGTTGTGCAGCCTTCATCTTAGCTCCTGTCACATCAGGGTGACGTCATGAGCCGCCCGGCGTGTTGCCAGGCTCATGAGGCTTCCTCGTGCCGCACCGTCGACAGACTGTGGCGCTTTTATCCAGCCTTTATATTTTGAACGTTTTACATTTTAATAAGACAAACACAGAAGTGATGGGTTTGGTGGCATTTCTGAGTATGATGTTGGTTCCCTATCACAGTATGTCATCACAGTTAAAACGGATGCAGACGTTAAACTTGAAAGCAACGTCACAGCTGCTGCTTTTTTTTCCATTTAAGGCGGTCCGCCAAAATAAAGCCTTTTATCAAGGCAGCTTTTTCAGGTAGTAACCCACAGCTTTGTTGCATCCAGGCTGGATTACAGTCACACACTTTATGATGGAGTTAGTGGCACGTCTGCAGGTAGTTTCCAAAAGCTGCAGCGCATCTTTTAACTGGAACAAAAAAGTCTGAGCTCATCAGCCCATTTTCATTTCACTCCACCTTTGATCCTTTTTAAACTGCTTTTATGTGTTTTTAAACCTCCTGCTGGCCCGTGACCGTGCTTCGCTGTAGCTGCTCCAAAGCTGCCTCTTCTCTTTTTGTCTTTATGCTCTTTGTATATGTGCAGCACTTTGTGAACCCTGGTTTTTTTAAGGTGCTTATAAATAAAGGTGGTAAATGCTAAACTTAGTCTGTAACAGCTGAACAAAGCAAAAGTGCAATAACAAGAAAACTCAGAAAAAACTCAGCGATGCTTCACAGCGATGGTGTTAGATACGGTGTCTAATCTAATCGAGTTGTCACACACACACACACACACACACACACACACACACACTTACAGCATCTGAGCTCTTGAAGTAAAGTCTGAAGTTGGTGATCAACACTTTGCCTTTCACGGCTCCACTGAACGGACAGATGTAGATTATGTCTTTATCTGGAAAGACAGGAGAAGAGTCAGAATATGAGAAACTTGTGGAGCAAACAGTCTTATTCATCAGCTGCACAGGACTCACCAGTAATCCTTTCCTCTCCAGGCAGCAGGGACACGTCAGATAACAATTCCATCTTCAGAGACTCTTTGCGGGTCTGCAAACACCAATATCAACATACATGACTGTATGCAATGTTTAAAATAACAAAAGATTTTTAGCTTTTATTGCAATTTAGCCCCGCCCTCATTTATTAACATTCAGTCAGTCACCTGATGAGTTTGTAAGTTTGCTCATTGTTTATATACAAACACTGTTTGACAATATTGTGAAACGTTTTTGATCGTTTCAGATTTTTCACAGATTTTCTCGCCATGTTTGCACCATCACTCTACTTTCTGCAGTACAGCACTGTTCAGCTGATGCTGACGAGGCTTTGGTACCACAGTGTGTCCAGCACTGCTTACTGCAGACAGAGGGGGCTGGAGCTGTAGGAGCAGCAGCTTCTGCACTGCTGCAGAGCAGCTTTAAACTGTTAGCCCATGTTGTCCCTGAGAAAGACCTTTTGTATCAGTCTGTTTGTGTAAACTTACCTTTTTCTAACCTTTGTACCATCTTAAACTGTTCATGTGACTCGACTGACTTCAATTGTACCAAATAACTGGAATAATTGTTCTAAAACTTTTCAGCGGTAGTTACAGTTAAATGTGTTATTCATCTAACTGGCAGTTAGTTATCACAGTAATAGAAGATCAGAAAAAAAGAAAACAGGAACAGAGATTTGGCTTCTTCTGTGTCACACTGAACTCTACATCTTTTAAGAAGCGCCTTTGACACAATCAAATGCACAACACAGACACACAAACGCATACTTACAGGGGGCGTGTGTGACTCTAAGATGTTGTACACTGAAACAGGTGAAGCCATTGCTGAGGGAGGGAGTTTCCACAGGCTGAGGAAGAGAGACAGGACTGTGAGGGCTCTCTGTTCATGATGCCAAAAATGAGATGCTAGCAACCTTGATCGCAGCTCCAGGACCTGAACAGGACTTTCACAAATACTGCTCCTGCAGTAAAATTGATATATCCTAATAACTGTTCAATAAAATGAAATGTTGTTTTTCTAACACCAATTTACAACAACGATCGTCTCAAGACTTGTAATTGGACGGTAAAGACTCGACTTGGTGACAGTGGAAAGGACGAACGCTCCAAACACAAAGACATCTGCAGCAGAGGGTCAGCAGTCTGCCACGACCGGGCAGCAGCTGAAGTGAAGGACAAACCAAACACTGAAGGGCTGAGATGGTTCAACACAGATTCTTTGCTTTCACACAAGGCTCTGTGGCGCCACTGTTACCATGGAAACGCCAACGCGAGCGACTAGAAACAGACCGTCCAAGAATACAGAGCACCTGTCTTTTATTTGGCTTTGAATCTACTTGAGATTATTTCTATATTTTTGCATTTATAAAAAAAATAAAATGTTTGATGAAACAAACGTTGCAATTTCTAAAATAGAAGCCAATCCCAGTTTGTTTTTAAACACCAGCCTTTACTTTGAGTATTTATTATTGCTCATTAATAAGGAAAATTTAAATAACTCATTAAAACAGTCGATAGCTGCAGCTCTACTTAGCATAATCCAAAAGCTTAGCCTAACTGTATGAGGAGAGCATTCTAGATTACAGTGAACCTATTGGGTAAACACTGACTACTAAAATGTTAATGTTCAGGTGATATCCTGTATAATATGTTGTTTAAGAGACAGGCCTGTAGCTTAGGATGGAGAGCAGGTCACCTATGAACTGGAAGGTTGGTGGTTCAACCCCTATCTGCTCCATTTCCTCGGGCGAGTTTCTAACCCCCAGGTGCTCTCGGATGCATCCATCAGAGTAGGAATGTGTGAACGTTAGATGGAAAGATAGAGAGCACAGAAAACATGGTTGTGTAAAGCGCTTTGAGTGCTCAGAGTAAGAAAGCACCATATAAGAACCAGTCCATGTACCATTTACAAAGCAGTGAGCTAATGTGCATTAGCTGTATTGCTGGGTCTTGTCACTCAGCAGCACTTCCTGTTATCAGGTCACTCACTGATGCAATCTAAATGTTAGAAAAAACATTTTGTTAAACTCTTTGCACTGCAGAGCTACGTCACTTACGTCCAACAAACAATCAGCCTGCGTCAAAAACATGTTTCCACAAAGGCAGGAAGACATGACGCCAGAAAGCACAGTAAAAATGTCAGATTTAAGCAGCTGATTAAAGTAACTGAGCCTCTCTACCAACATTTCTCTCAGTGCCGTGTTCAGTCGCATTGGACTGGTAGCTACACAAGTTGCACGTTTCTGGGACGCCAAACAAAAGCGTGAGCAAAGATACCATCTATCCACTGCACTGCATGACAACACACAAGGGAAGATTTTATTATTTTACTTGAAATGTAACAATAGTATGAAATTAATTAAACACAAGTAAAATACTTGTAATTAAATAAGTATAAATTACTTATAGGCTGGTTCACAGGTTTGAAGTCTGTCAGTTTCCCAAATCAGAACTAGAATCATATAAATCCATCACATGCAGCATTTAAAATGTGAGCATTATTTATCACCTCTGTTAAAGAAATCTATTTCAAGTTTCCCCTAAAGTAAAACTTCAGTTGTTAAATGAGTCAAATCCGACTGATCGTCTGCAAACACAGAAACAAAGAAAGTCAACTCTAAAGTCGCTGCTTCTACATCCTCCTCTGACACTGTGTACCACCGGGTCCTTCTACCTCAGCTCTACATGAAACTGGATTAGAGGCACAGTTCTGACCTGGTTTGAATCAGACCTGACAAACACAAGTTGTTTTGTACAGGTGGGAGCATCGCTCACTTGTGGAGTACCTCAAGGGTCCATTCTGGGCCCACTTCTCTTTTCATTGTACGTGTTGCCTCTAATTTCTATCTTTAGAAAAGATCGGCTTTCTTTGCCGTGACATCCAGGTGTTTATGCCCATTCAGCTGAAATTGTCTTAGTGACTTTAAGTCCTGGATGAGGATAAATTTCCTACATTTTAATGAAAGAAGGACCGATTTCATACGCTTTGGTAAATATGACTCTTGTGAGTCTTTTGGCTCCTTACAGTCATGTTGCTGTAAAAAAATCTGGGCATGACTTTTAACAGGTTTCTTAAAATGGACCAACAAATAATAGTCATCACTACGGTTTGTTTTTATCAACTCAGAGTCACTGAAGAAGTAAAGCTTTACCTCTTACAGAAGGAACTGAAAATAAAGTTCTTCATGCTTCTAGCACTTGCCGCCTGGGCTACTTTAACTTTGGTGTTGAACAGTTATCTTTATCTTTAGTCCAGAATGTGGCAGCTCGCCTCTTAACAGGCGTTAGAAAGCATGCACACATCACCGCGGTCTGAGGTCATCTAACCAGATGCTCTTAAGTAATCCTGAAACCAGATTAAAACAGAGAGGTGATCGAGCTCCTGCATCTACAGCACCAGAGCTACAGAATCAATACCACGCCACAGCTGCACAGCTCAGACACTGCACACATGTAAATCTTTATTAAAACACTTATTCTCTCGCTGTGACATCATCATAGACGGTTGCATTTTGTCCAAAAATAAATTTTTAAATTGTTTTTTTCTACTTTTTTATGTTAATGTTAAGTATTGTGTTACATTTTTCTGAAATTTTTTGTGCAGACTTTTTAGAACTACATCATTTCAGTGTACAGCAACTTTGTCGTTTTAAATGTGCTACATATATAAATTTGACCTCGAGTACATCAAAACCACCTTTTTGCTGTCAGGCGTCATCGAATGGTTTCAAGCGGCAGACCCGCAAGACTCAAGGATGCTGCATCCAAGGATGCAACAACGTGCATTAATGGAGGTGGAAACAGTGACATCGCACCGCTGTGAGGCTTAGTTTAACACCCAGACTGATAATATGCAGTACAGCCATTAAAACTATGTGCAAGACTTATGATATAAATAACGATTACAGCAAACTAGCATAAGATATAAATAACTGGTGTCGTCTAGTTGAGGAGCTCTAGTCTTAGCATGATTACGACCTCACAGACTGTTTCCTCTTGTACACGCTGCCTCCTCTGGCTCTTTCCTTTATCTTGAGTCTGACATATGTGTTTGAGTCACATACAAATGATGTAATGGCACCTTAACAGCAGGTATAAATACAACTGACTGTGAGTCTGCATCTGCAGGCAAAGAGACTGATGCAGTGGGCATACTGGGACCATAAGTGTCTCTTTTGTCCCAGCTCCCTGCCCTCAACCCTCACTGATTGCAGACTGGTCCTGCTGGAGGTTCCTTCCTGTGCTCACAGGGGGTCATTTAATTGTTGGAATTGTCTCTATTATTGTCTTTACTCTACAATATAAAGTGCTTTGAGCACATTGTTGTTGTGATTTGGCGCCAGATAATTACAACTGAACTGAATTAAACTGAGTGGCAAACAGTCTTAATTTGATAACGAGCGTGTGTCGTGAGCAGGGTTATTATCCTTACTACAACTGAAACTAAAGAAAAAACTCAAACTAGATACAACCATGCCCGAAAGACTAAAACTAGCACCGAGACTTCTTTCTTTTCTTTTTTTAGATAAAAACTGAACTGAAAATCGACTCAGGAAACCAACTGAGACCAAATTCAACTCAAAACCAAAAGTCAAAATGAAAAATGTAATAACACTGATTGTGAATCAAGATAGTAAAGAAACTCTCCCTTCTTAATCCTGCGACTTCAAAAATCAATCATGTGAATAAGTTTCAACAAATGCGTTCAAAGAAAACAACAAGACTTGAAGTTAAAATCTTAAACCCCACTATTAGAGACATGCCACCTTCTCTGTTACACTGAGTCACTGACAGCTGTGTTACAGAGACAGAATGTAACTAAACTCTACTGAAAATCATCACATTACATCTGACATATGACATGAGAAAACACAACAAATGAAGAACGTCTTCAACTAACACTTCAGAGCAGAGTGTCACAAAGATTGAGTTTGCTTCTTGGTATAAAATACTGAATTACGTGTCGTCTCTATCTCCTGTAAGGGGGATTGAGATGACATCATCTGTGTGTCCAGGGTTGTTTGTTTGTTTGTTTTGTAAAACTATCAGTTTGGGGCACTTTAGCACAGACAGAGACTTGTCCTCAGGACTCAGTGTCGCTGTTTTATTTGACGAAATGAAATCGTGCCGCGGACTCGAGTCTCAGCACTACTGAGCTATTCTTCCTCTCTGTGTGTTTGTGGATGCTCTTCCTCCTTTCTGCGGTGTGCAGCCTCACAGCGTGATGATGCCACCACCAAGCCCAGCTTTGCCTGGTATTAACGAGCAGTGAGCAGGCCCAGCTCATCAAAACAATGAACAGTTTCCCTCTTGCTCTCAGACTGTGAAATGGAGTTTGATGAAAGGGCTAAACAAGGTCCTTCACTGTGCACTGCCTAAGTGCAGCAACAATACAGGAATGTCTGTGATCTCTGCCACGGCGCTCCTGGACATACCAGAACCTTTAGGACTTTTTCAGGACGTTTCACAGACGCAGCAACTGAAAAGTCATGTTTCACTTACACTTAATCTTCACTAAATAAACCACAAAGTGTTCAAACCATTCTAAACCAGGTTTTAAAGCAAAACAGTAAGTGGACTCGAAAACATTCTGACTCAAATGTACATGAAACCAGCAGCAGTGAATGCTTCCTCATTTTGTGAAACGCCAGGACAGCAGGGTGGAGTAACAAGTAAAAACCTATGAAAAAATATAGTGTGTCATCAGTAGGTTTGAGAAAATGAGAATAGCTGCTGTGGTACGATATGTTTCAAGTGTTTTATAGCAATACATGTGAAATACTCTGCATAGGACTGAAAGTGTTAACACTACTCATTCATTTCATATTAGGTTAGTCCGTCTTTGATTCGACGGCCCCTGATTTAAGTCGGTATTTTGGGTGTGAATCTTCCCAGTCACACACTAAACAGCACCATATTTAAGGTGTTAATGATTCTAATATTAAGACAATGAACAATATTTAAAGTTGTAACCACAAACACAATCCCTTTAGTTCCTAAATCACTGTGTACTGAGAGTTTTTGCAGTGTAATAATAAACTCTGCAGCGTCCTTTAGGATCAACACCTGTGTAATTGAAACACTTGTAAAGGAGACATTAAACACTAAATGCAGAGGCTAATTGACACAATGGAGCCCTGCTCTCACAGCCTGATGCAGGTATAGCACTGTTTGTTAGCTGGATTTAACAAATAACAGCTTAAAGTCTGTTTTAGAAACATGTGGAGCTCCGTCTTCACTGGGATGATTTGTTATAACCACATATATGCTGTTCACGTTCACTCTGTGTCTCTTTAGCAGTGATTCGCTCGTCGTTGTTCGGCTGGCTGCACTGACAGGAGGAAATCCACCTGTTGGCTGTTTGGTTGAATAAATGAGAACAGAGAGGAGCCTATTTGACTCAGGTGACAGGTGGATGACCGCTGCATCCGGCCTATCATGGAAAAACTCGAGTGTCAGACTGCAGCTTGTGGGTCTGGTGACTCAGACAGCATCTTCTCCTCCACACTGTCCTCATTTATAAACCTGAACATTACGGCTAACAGCGTGTCAGTGCAGCTAGCCAAACAACGAGGAACCCCTACTCAAGAGACAGAGAGTAAAAGTGGACAGTGTAGCCTTGGTTTTAACATAAAACTCGTTGTTGCAGCCCGGGGAAGAACAAAAGCTCTCCTTGAACTGATTTTTAGTTTCAGGCTTCTTAAATCCCCTGAGCTATTGGGTCTATTACAAGTTAGCTAACATAAGCTAATGTAAGTCTAGGTCTAAGTGCACGCTCAGTCACCAAGGTAAGTAAATCTGTTCATCTGGACGTTAGCACTGGGAGAAATGTTTGATCAGTGGTTGTTGATCAATGGTTGTGACAATTTGCATATTCAATGAACAGCCCATTGTTCCTTCAGTGGGCTGGTTTCAGTCATTGTGCAAATGTCCTGTTTATAAGGTTGGAAACCTGCAGTCAGCTGAGACTGAAGAAGGACGAGTGACGAAACGTTTCTCCCGCTGAAAACATCCAGATGAACAGATGCAACCTTTTGGTCTGCTGATGGAAACCAACCAACCGGTGACTTAAGGGTCCGCACTGACAGAAGATGGCGCTAAATATGCTTTTAAAACTTGAAGCACTTACTTCTTAAATCCAGCTACACTGATGGTTATATCTGTGTCAGTTTTTGAGAGCAGAGCTCAAGGGTGTAAACCTATGCATTTAGTGTTTCATATCCCTTTAAAGAACAAAAGAAATGACACTTTATAAAACAAAACATGACGATATTGTTGTTTTTAAGATTTTAATAACCTAAACCACTCGCTGATGTGGGCAGTGATCCCTCTAAACAGAGGCCGGCGCAGTAGGTCGAGCCCACAGCCATAACAGCAAAGTTTCTATGTCTAAATATGGCTGCTCGTTTAGATCTACAGCCATGTTTCTCCTCCAATGATTTCTGTGCACAAAGCTGTTAACTCCACGCGTGACGTGCCTGAACGTGGTCAACACTGAAGCTGCTTCTGACTTTTAAGAAACTCGGCAACTAGAATAGAATAGCCTTTATTGTCATTGTACAGAGTACAACGAAATTGGAGTGCCACTCGGCAACTAATGATGATTAACATAACCAACAGAAACATTTTACTTAGTAAAAGCAGTCTGCATCTGCAAGTGTTTTGTTTTATGTGGGAGCAGGGCGACATGAAGCAGCATTGTCGCGTAATAACGGGTTAATAAACCTGCTTTCACTCCTGCCTTGGTCAGCTGCTGTGAAACAGAACAACACACAAGGAGCCGCTTTCGGTGCCCGAAACCAGCTCAAATATTCCCAGCACAGGCAAAGTGTGGCTTCCAGTCTTTTTACAATTCAGCGTCAAAGCTGGGAAGCGTCCATGGAAAAATCTGAGCACTGCAGGAAGCGGAGTGAGAAACAGACAAAGCTACGCCGAAACGCCTTAAATGAACTTTTTTAACTCAGCCATTCCAACAGACACAGATGTGCACCAGGAAATAGAGCAGGCCTACACGGGAAGACAGCTCGTTCCCCCCGAGATTCACGCGTTCCTGATTAACAGAGCGCGGAAACCTGCGACAACGCCCTCCGAATAACACTTCATATATACTCAGGTGACCTCGTTCCGGCCAGATGTCTCAACTTACCCGCAAATTGCGATTCTCCCGTGGCTGAAAGTCGGCCTGTTTCCCTCAAGCTACAACAGGAACTCACTCTAGGTCACGTGCCGGCCTGTCATGGCACGGATTGGCTGGTTGTCAAACTACAGCTCGCAAAGTCTCGAGGGAAATGTAGTTTTCGGACGGCTTGGCCTACACGCCTCATTCGGAGCAGGTGTGCCTGTTTTTTATGTTGACATGTACATACATGTTTTATACTAACGTAGATATGGTTCCTCCAGCTGAAATCAGTTAGTTTTAAACGTTATAAGCTAAATATTGTGCTGATGTCTAATTCTTTGCTTTGTTTTCTTGGACTCTACTAGATTAGCTCTATTTCACATTATCGCTTATTTATTTTACCAATTTTTCCGGTATGAATCAGCCATTTCAGCTCCCATCTCCTCCCTTTAATAGAGACATAGTGGTTCTTAACGTTGAGCAATTGTCCCTGAGTTAAATAAGCTGTTAAGAAAATGGTTCAGTTCTTGTAAATTATCACAGTGTATATACAATTAATTAGATGTGTTAATTCATTTTGGCAATAGTACGCATGTGATTAGCAGTCTCCTTGTATATGCCAGTTTAGTAAAACATGTATTAATTACTCCTGTCTCAGAGAAGCCACACACCGGACTTGGATCCTGCAAGGTGAGTACTAGTCATGAGCAGCAACGGTCACATTGCTGCTTCAGTCGGGCTGTGCACGCCTCCAACCTGCTTCTCCAGCTTAGCCAGCCAATCCTGTATATGCAGAAAAAGAAACGACAGAATTCCCTGTTTACTTTCAAATACTCAAACACTCCACAGTCCATGGTAACTGCCACACGGGATCTTATCTTAAGCTTTTTAACCATAAATCATCCCTGAAATTTTAGCTATGACTTAAAAAGAGCTAAAAGTTCTATTGACTATAATTAAAGTTAAAGAAAAGTTACTTTTATTTACTGGGATTTAAGAAAATGTGAGGCAAACTTGCACACTATGAGTGAATATAAATGATGGAAAACCATCTTGGTCCTGGGTTTTTGGCCCAGTTTTTGAGGTTATTGTGGTTTTGTGGTTCAGTCTTTTGGAATTCAGGTCTCAGTGTGTGTTGTTTCCTGTTTTATTTTGATAGTCTCCTCTCTCCTGTGTATCATGCTGAGTTTGATTCCTTTGTCTCACTAGTTTGGATTAGTGTCAGGAGTGTGTGGTGCAAACTTTAGAAGTATTTGGAATTGGAGTATTTGATTAACTATAGCAAGTGGACTTGATCTGCATAACAGATACTGTATTTGATAAACTGTGTAGAAGGATAAGAGGAGTGGTGTGCAGGTTTCAGCCTGTACAGGCCCAGTAAGTTGAAAACTTGCAGACTACCTCTGGGCTTCTGTATTCCCCAAGAGAAAAACCATAAAAAGCAGCCACTGCCAGCATCATGTTAGGCTGGTTAATCACAAACTTCTGGGTGTACTATTGGAGCCAGACCCATCCGTGCAGGTGGAGAGTGTGATGGGGGAGGGTGGAATACAGCAGCGATGGGAATAATGGCGTTACAAGTAATGGCGTTACTAACGGTGTCACGTAAAACCAGAGTCATGATAAATAATATATACGCGTGTTTTTCCTCAATCGTTTCGTCACGTTTACTGTCTAAGGACAGCGCAACGAGCACTCTCTGCTTACAAGCAAACAAAATTCAGCCCTTTCGTGTTGGTGGAAAAATGCACCGTGTCGACCAATAAAAAATGATATGGCAACATGACATTTGGTTCTTTAGGAAGAGGGGGAAGTTTTAGGAGTGACGGTGAGTGACGGCGAGAGAGAGTGAGAGAGAGAGAGAGAGTTTTGAGATGTGAGAGATTTGTGACGTTTAGCGTGTTTGGAGTGTGTAGTTATTGTGTTGTCTTGTGTAGTTAGTGTGTAGTGTTGTGGATAGTTTTGTGTTGTGTGTCAGAACAATGAGGCGACTGCTGTCTCCAGGTAGAAACAGCAGTGACACACCTGCTGCTGTCAGACCTGCAGGTATCAGGCTGTGATGTTTCCTATATAGTGGACAGAAATATTTGTGTGGCATCGTATTGAAGAACAGCTGATTGTTCTGTAAATAGTTTGAAATGGTTATTTAAAAAATCAAGGTAAAAGGTAAATGGATGCAAATAACTTTGTTGTTTGCAAAACTTGTGCATAGGATTTTAAAATTGACAATTTATTTTTGCTTTTAAAGTTCTGAAATATGATCATTAAACATGTTTGTGGTTACAATAAAAAATGTAACTTTTTCTACTCGGATTTTATGTTTTCTGCCTGATTTTAGATCAATTGTGTTAATACAGTATGTCAAAATGAAAACATGACTGTAAATTCAGACACGTGAGGTTGTGCTGAAAAGGATGATACCAAACAAGACAAAGGAAATCATTTTTAACGGCGAAATGTGGAGGAAAATCAGAAGTAGTCAAAAATGGCCAATTATACCCTGGACCCCAGAGGGTTAAACGTTTTCTTCAAAGTAACACAATAGTTACTTTTCAAGTAATTAATTACTTTTAGAGTCTTGTAACTTAGTTACTAACTCAGTTACTTTTTTGAAGAACTAACTAGTAACTATAATTAATTACGTTTTCAAAGTAACTTGCCCAACACTGGAATACAGCCGGCAAAAGTAAAAGCAAAAGGAAAACTCATCCATGTCCTGAGATGGTGACATGGATGAGCTTTCCTTTTGGGACAGGACCAAAATAGAGAGGAGGGGTTTAACATGTTTGTTAAAGCACTGAAGATTAATAATTTGTTGGGTAAGAGTGTAAAAGTGTCCACACCAGTTAGTGGTTAAAGGAGTAAATTAAAAGGAGTAATATATAATGCATCACTTCCCGTGATGCATTGAGTTTTTCCTTTCCAGTCACCTTTCTCACTCACTATGTATTAACAGACCTCTCTGCATTGAATCATATCTGTTATTAACCTCTGTCTCTCTTCCACAGCATGTCTTTATCCTGTCTTCCTTCTCTCACCCCAACCGGTCGCAGCAGATGGCCCCGCCCCTCCCTGAGCCTGGTTCTGCTGGAGGTTTCTTCCTGTTAAAAGGGAGTTTTTCCTTCCCACTGTCGCCAAAGTGCTGCTCATAGGGGGTCATATGATTGTTGGGTTTTTCTCTATAGCGCCTTGAGGCGACTTATGTTGTGATTTGGTGCTATATAAATAAAATTGAATTGAATTGAATTGAATCGAGTTATCAGAGTTATCAAACCCGTGGACAATGTGAATGGAGCCAGACAAGTTTATGCTGAACATATAAACATATAAACTGCTAGTGATGATTCAGTGGTGGTAAGTGGAAAGTAACTAATGGTGTTTATGGTTGAAGCAATGTGGAAATCAAAAATGGCCGCAAAAAATCAAATACCGGTAATAATAATTCAGATGTGGCAGGAAATCGCTTCTGCTGCAGAAAGGCTGCAAGGATGCAAGGAGATCAATCACAAAGGTTTGAATGAAAGTCACCATTTAGAATGAGACGACACAGACACAGAGGACTCGTTCTACAGAGGTTCTAATGATGACAACTAGCACTGTTTGCATAATGCTGTTTGTCAGAAATGGCCCTAACCAATCTGGCGCTCTAGGCAAGATTTTAGGTGGCGCCCCCCTACATCAGCAGTGTAGTGTAATGTTGTAACAAATAATATTTCTATTAAATAAGCTTTACTTTGCATTTTAATTAACGTGGGATTATTTTTTGTATTTAGAAATAATAGTACCAACTTTTTTTTTTTTCAACATTTGTGGCACTGGCGTGGCGCCCCCCGATGGATGGCACCCTTAGCATTTGCCTATATGGCCTATGGCACGGGCCGGCCCTGCTGTTTGTTATGCAATGAATGCAGTAGCTGAGTGCCAGAAGGAGGACAGAAACAGTAGAGTTCTAGAGGAATCTATAGACTAACACAACTTGGTTGTTTTAAATGATGACCCATGCCCTCATGGTTCTGGACAAATCAAACAGTCTCATCATCTACTGACGTGACATTTGCATCAGCAGAACTGTTGATAAATGGGATGTACTGCATCAAAATACAAGATTCTGTTAAAAAATGTCAGCATGGTCAGCTGCAGCTCAGGTTATACCACAGAAGAAACCCGTCCAAACAACTATTACGATCCCGCAGTAGGATCTGAAATGTAATCTCGCTGTGAAAGCACGAAACATGGAACCTGGTGCCTTAGTTTAGCAGTTTCACAAGGTACACAGTAAAGAAAGGTAAGTGCAGAGAAAAGGAGGAGAGACTAGAGCAACAACAAGGAAACTCAGGTGCTATCAATGTGATCTTAATGTTAGATAAATAGAGCCATAACGAAAGGAAAAGACACATCTCCAGGCAGGGGTGGAAAAGGATTCCAGCTATTTAAACAGTCAGGAAAGCTACTCTTTAAAAAGTTGTTAGCTGTTTTTAATAATGTGTGGGGGAATGGGGGTCTTCCAAAAGAATGGAAACGTGCAATGATTATTCCTGTTGTAAAACCTGGAAAGGAGCCTAAGTCTAGCTTGTACAGGCCTATGGCCCTCACCTCTTTAATATGCAAGACAATAGAGTGAATGTTAACGGATTAGTAAAGAATTTGGAAAAGTGGGTTTTTGTACTGCACCAGAGCAGTTTGAGGTGGGGTCACTCAGCTATGGGTGCAAGTAGAAGTCTTCTTAGATACTGAAAAAGCAAATGACCGGCTGTGGAAGGAGGGCTTGCTAACAACATGTCATGATGCTGGAGGAGAAAGAATGCTACATGGGATCCAGAATTTCTTATGTAACCGGGCAACACAAATGAGAGCTGGCAGTGAACTGTGTGAGGAGCTGGAGGTGGAAAATGGTACTGCTCAAGGAAGTGCCATTAGTCCTTCTCTGTTCAACGTTCTGCTGAATGACATGTTGAATCGGCTGGGAAAAGAGTTTGGTGTCTCTCTGCTTGCAGATGATGGTGCCGTCTGGAAACAGGGAAGAAACCTTCCGTTTATTCTCTCTCAGATTCAGAGCATCCGAGCTTTGGAGGATGTGGTTACACGGGCTAATGATTCAGGCTTTAAAATATCTGTTGATAAAACTAAGTATGTGATATTTGGACATAAAAGGAAAGTAGCAACTAAATATCTGCAAGTATCAGGAAAGTACCTT